CTTACCCTCTGCTGGGGTGTAGGGCTCGAAACAAATTCTACCATTTGCATCGGTCGCGGGTAGTCTGTACTACCTCCTCCCACGTTTGTTATGTAATTTTTTCCAAATTTTAAATGGCTTTCCTGTGAAGTTGTAAAAAATGTCGCTAAAACCAAATAACCTTTCACCCCTCGTCTTCAAACTTCAGCCGAAGCTTACACGTGTTGATTATCGTCCAATACCACACGAACGAATTTTAACCTTTTCCGTGTGCTTAGTGCGAGTTTTTTACCGTTCTCGATAGCGTAAAAGTTTGCTCATATTTGTATGGAATAGGATTTCGTTTGCGTACGCACGTCATTTCGGATCCTCCCGATCCACTAACGGTGCTTTTAGGTACCTCAAGCACCGGTCATCGTTCTCGTCGAGCCCGTCGTCGCAAGCGAGTAAATTAACCCTCAGACACAGCCCACTTAGTTTCTCACCGGATCTTCTCAGTGGGTCGCGTTTCCGATCCGGTGGTAGATTCTGCGAAGCACGGCTCTTGCTAGGGTTCGTGTTAGCAACGTCATCAGGTTTGGGCCCCGTGAGCTCACCTACTAGTTAAGGCGACGCTGATATAGCCTCTTAAGGCTATTAGCTTAGGTAGGAAAAAAAAGATTGCGTACGTTTGCCGCTAGGGGCGCTGTTCCAACTGCATACAGGGTTAACTTTTACGCTATCGAGAGCGTTAAGAAACTCGCACTAAGCACACCGAATAATCATTATTGTTACAGCTCCGACTTCTGTACGAATGTAACCCGATGTCGTTCATCGTGACCGAAGCGGGCGGTCTGGCAACAAATGGAAAAGTTCCGATCCTGGACATAGTGCCCTCGTCCATACACCAGCGCGTTCCTTGCTACCTCGGCTCGAAGAAAGACGTTGAGGAATTACTGAATTATTTGAAGTGACATTTCGCGAAATCCAAACGTTCTGTATAAAAATAAAGACTGTTTTTAAATGTTAACAAGGTTATGTTATTTTAATTTTCAATATATATTTTTTTGTTTGAGATATTACTGGAGGCCTTTCTAGTTTTACCAGGGCAGCTGGGCGAGCAAAGGCTCAGCCAGGAGGGGTGAGATTTGCTAACAGCTACCCGAGCGCCTCCGAAGGAGACCTAACAACTCAAGAGCAGCTTCGCGAATGAATCTACTACCGGATCGGAATCGCGACCCGTTGAGAAGATCCGGCGAGAAACTCAGCGGGCTGGTGTTTAGGAATTTTCAATAGTCATTGATTGCACTGAGCTTCCTTATAGTATTTTGAGTATATAAAGTGGTCACCATAGTTCATAAACATTGGCAATACCACGGACAGAAATCCAACGAAGGTCCTGTTAATAAAACATGTCCCAGCCAAAAGCAAGTTTACCTCTGGTGCAGTATGTGGGCGCAACGATGCCAGGGGGCGCCGATCTCGGCACTGTCAATAACATTGTTACATTCGTACCTGTATGATTTTAACCGCGTGATTACTACAGGACGATAGGGTATTCATTGGACATGGGCTAGAGACACTTTTGGTCACAGCACTAGCATTAGGCATTCTGTTCGAAGACAGGTTATATATTATACCATGCTTATTTCTACTTTCAAACGAAACAAATTAAATATAGTAAATTAAATATAATATAGTACATATGAGGCCTATAAAATCAAAGGCAGCTAAATCCAAGTCTGTCAAATATTCAGGTAAACACAAAAATCGGCCCTAAACATGTCATTACGGATCCTCCCGATCCATCGAAGTACTGCTCTTGCTAGGGCCAGTGTTAGCAACACTCCCGGTTTGAGAAGCTGAAATAACTTTGTTCACAAGGGCGGATCCAGCTTTGGTGCCAGGAGGGGGTCACATAGTCATGGTCAAGTCAAGAACTTATAAGTTAATCTTGATAACAATAGATACAAGTAAAAAGTAGGTATTTTATTATAAGCACATTAAAGGTATAAGCACATTAAAGGTATAAAGAAATTTTAGTTTTTTAACTTAGAACTATGTTATGATATGTTGAAGTTTAGTCGTTCCGATTCCGATTGAGGTTAGGATTCAATTTGAGGTTAGGCCTAAGACGTTACGTAGTCGACAAGCGCGCGCGAGTGTGGCGCGGTAAAATTCAAATTTTCGATGCGTTCGTTCCCAAACATTTGCCATCATACAAAGTTATTATTTTATATTAAATTAATTAAGGAGCAATATAAGGAGCAACAATATACCTAGTCTTGCCATAAATACTGTTACAAAGGAAAACAAAAAAAATTCTATGGCAAATAACATTTATTACTTTTACAGTGCGTTAGTTTAATACATAAATATAAAACAATTTAAAGTATAAAAAGCTTAATCGAAGTGGTCTCCATTGGCTGCAATACAGTCCTTTAAACGTTAAGACCAGTTATCAATAGAAGCACGCACTCTCTCCATGGGAAAATTTTTCACTGCCAATCCTACGGATTGTTTTATTTTATTTTTTTATTGCCGTATAGGCAGACGAGCATACGGCCCACCTGATGGAGAGTGGTTACCGTCGCTCATGGACGTCAGCAATGCCAGGGGCAGAGCCAAGCCGCTGCCTACCGTTTAATACTCTCCACAAGCCTCGTTTGAAGAAGGACATGTCATAGCGCTCGGGAAACACCGTGGAGGGGAGCTCATTCCATAGCCGGATGTTTTAGGGACTCCAAATTATCATGGCGCTTAGAACAAGCCGTACTCTCTAAAACTGACCATAAATCATAATCCAGCGAATTAAGATCGGGACTAGACGACGGTCAGTCTTCAGCTCTGATGAAGTCCGAAACGTTCGTTTCCAACCAAGACTGCGTAAACCGAGCTTTATGACCTGGCGCCGAGTCTTGCTAGAAGGACTATTCTTGATTATTGAACATGGTGTTGTTAAGGGGCTTCACTACCTTCTCAAGAATGGTATCTTGATACACTTGTGCCGATGTTTTGATACCTTTTTCACAAAAGTATGGCTCAGTCACTCCTTCATAGCTAATACCCCACCAAACCATCACTGAAGTCGGATAGTGCCCACGTTGCACTCTGTCGACTAATTGGGAAGCTTCCTTAGAGCTTTGAGCATAAATACGGTCATTTTGTTTGTTAAAATGTTGCTCAATTGTAAAAAAATTCTCATCCGTAAACAAAATTTTTCTATGACCTCCCTTTGCGTACCGCTTCAGTAGTTGTTTCGATTTTACCACCCTATTCTCTTTTAAATTATCAGTTAAGAAATGACCAGTACGTCTCTTATAGGCTGCAAGTCCTAAGTCATCTTTTAAAATACGCGACATGGTTCTAGGTGCTATCTTCATCTCCCGAGATAAAATCTTTTGCTTTCGGACAGGATTTCTTCGAATTCTTTCCCTTACTGCTTTGACCACCTTTTTCGTACGAACACTACGTGGACGGCTAGATATTTTTCTGTCACAAACAGAGGAGGTCTCATTGCACCTATTAATAGCCCGGTACACAAACATTTTACTAATACCAAGCGTATGGAGAGTTTTAAAAATTGCATTTGGCTCCATACCTACTTTGTGTAATGCAATCACAGCGATTCGGTTTTCTTTATCACCACACTCCATTTTAATATCGCAAAATATTGTACAATGTATTGGCGCCAAAATGAGAAAACTCAATGAGCAATCATATAAAAATGACAGATTCCAAATTGAAATGTAATATTTTGTTTATTTTTAATTGTAACAGTATTTATGGCCAGACTAAGTATTGTGTCCTTAAATCATTATGTTCAATATGTGGTCCACCTAGGTCCTGGAACCAGCTCAGGGGGGGTCATGACCCCCATGACCCCCCCCCTGGATCCGCCCTTGTTTGTTCATATAGCTACGATATTCTTTATTTTAAAGCCGATTTATAAATAATGAGAATATTACTAATAATCTGAATTTTAAATGATAAAACTTCGTTTATTAGTATTTAAAACAGAGTAAAAACAAAATTTTTGAACTGAATTTGTTATAGATTTAGCTGCATTTGTTATTACATGAAAACACTAAAGCGTGTCCAACTAACTAAACAAGATAGCGCCATTGTTAATCCATTTTACGACATTAAGGCGTTTAGCTGCCTTTGATTTTATAGGCCTCATATTACATTTTATATACATATGAAGAAAGTGGAGTTACTTCCTTTAACCTCAATATTGCAGCGCATGCATTATTCGTGAAGCGGTTCGAGTTATTATTTTTCCTACCTAATCTGATAGTTTTGAAGGAACATTTCAGCGTAACCTTAACTAGTAGGTGAGCTCACGGGGCTCAAACCTGACGACGTTGCTAACACGAACCCTAGCAAGAGCCGTGCTTCGCAGAATCTACCACCGGATCCGAAACGCGACCCACTGAGAAGATCCGGCGAGAAACTCAGTGGGCTGTGTCTGTGGGTTAATTCACGAGAACGAACGAAACACAATACGAAGTTATGAAATTAATTACTATAAAAAAAATTGGTTTAAATGTAGTAGTGTCTATTTTTACAGAGCAACACAACATACATTGGAGTCTTTTTTGAAATAATAACAAAACAAGTACAATTAAAATTTTATTATTCTTATATACAATTTCATCAAATTCACTTCAATAAGCACATTCATTTCTACGCGTTATTTCAAAACCTTTCTTTGTCTTCACATTATCTAACCTTTTCTAGTCTTAAGTCTTATACAAATACAATAAACCGCCCTTCGACTTAACAATTGAATAATTTTTCACTTTAACGTATCCTACGTTACAACAATATAATATACCTTAATAGGGAGGAAATTTAAAAAAAAAACTTTTTTCTTACTTTCGCATCAAACTCTATGTTTCGTGTTTATAAAGATGACAATAAACAAAGAGCATATATATTTTATGTGTTGTATCAAATACACGGTAGGGTGCGTAATTTTTTTTAATAGATTGAATGTATATTTTATGCATAATTAAAAAAATACAATACTTTCTGCTTTTCTTCTCTGTGTTCTCTATAAGTGTGAGAAATTCCATAATCCTCCGTCCGCGCAATTCACGTATTAACATATAGATATATATTTTTATAGTTCACCCAACAACATTCTGTTTACTTTATTCTATGAGAAACCATTTCCACAGTACTGCCGTTTTTTTTTTAAATCAAGAGACTGTGGGATGTCTTTTTCCCAAGAAATTGTTAGCGAAGCTGATGCGGTAGCCGCGGCGTGATGTTAAGGCTACAAGTCACTCCGCACTCTGGATCAACCCCTAACCTGTGCCGCGCTGGGGATACAGGTACCCACCGTCCGAGCCAGGGTACGGTAATAACTGGTGGTAGGACCTCTGGTGAGTCCGCGCGGGTAGGTACCACCACCCCGCCTATTTCTGCCGTGAAGCAGTAATGCGTTTTGGTTTGAAGGGCACGGCAGCCGTTGTATTCAGAATTAGAACTCATGCCAAGGGTGGGTGGCGGCATTCACATTGTCGATGTGGGGTGTCCACCAGGCGGGCCGTTAGCTCTATATCTAAGCAACTAGGCAATAAAAAAACCCCTAGACTTAGACTTAGTAAAGTTTTAGAAGACTTATCACCAAACCCTTGTTAAGTTTTTGGTGTTAAGTGGTTATCGGAGCCCATATATATCACAGCGTGAATGCCCTCATCAACAATGAAAGTTATGTACAGCCGTTGTAACTATACTGAGACGTTAGAACTCAATTCTCAAGGCGTATATGACTATGGGTTCCAGTAACCACTTAACAGCAAGTGGGCTGTGAGTCGTCCATCTGTATAGGCAATAAAAAAAATAAAAAAACAAAAACGAGTCATAGTGGAGCTCCCCTCCTGCGAGTGCGCCATCTTATGGACACAAGGCGAACTGGAGAGCACTATGATTAACATGAGCACTGTCCCGTACACAACACAACACATCTCAGTAAGTTAAAATTCTAATACATATTGAATTTATTAACGAACATTTTTCGAAACATTTAATCTATAGTTAGATTCGACACCAAAAAGAAAATGGCTAACCAATTTTCACATCAAAACTTTCTGGCGATTTGTTTTTAAATGAACACGAACGTATTTTTAACGCATCCCGTCTTCAAAGCCTACTACATATTACATATATTGCAGTAGGCAGCGGCTTGGCTCTACTCCTGGCATTGCTGAAGTCCATGGGCGACGGTAACCACTTACCATCAGGTGGGCCTTACGCTCGTCTGCCTAAAAAGGCAATAAAAAAAAACATGACAACACTTCCACGACAACATTAACAAATTAAGATCATAAGAAAATAATATATTCAAATTGACTTTAATCATTATGCGAACAAAAAGCTAACAGATTTGACAGATGACATCCCACCTAAATATGTAATTATAATGTATCATGATGATATATAAAAGTCCTGCACAAATAATTATATTATTATTATTATATTACGAGAATCCCTTAACTTAATAATCAACCAGCGAATGTCGTCTCTATGGAGCAGTCTTTAACGTTGTGTGTTGTTCGTCTCGCGGCGACGCTCACGCGGTCAGCGCCACGAACTGGTGGAACACGTCCAGTATGTGAGGGTCCAGGTCCTGCGTGAACAGCAGCGTCTCCAGCGTGCTGCTGTACTTCTGGACTTGCTCGTGGTGCTGGAACAGACGGAATACTTTGTGTATAGGCTACACGAATCACAAAAACTATTGTTACGCCGGTAAGAGTAACGCCATCTATCAACGAATAGCAGAAACGAATGTGGCGAACAGATGCCCGAATCTCGCTTACGACATTTTCAAGATAAGCTTGTATATATACAAGTTCCGAACAACAACATTTGGACCATCGGTCTACCGAACAAATATCATCCGCTCGGTGGAAGATCTTCCTTTCGTCGTAATCCCCCAAACGAATATCGAAGGACCTAGTAAAAATCGAGAAGTACAACGCCATCTATTGTCAGAGAGCGGAAACACATCGAAGCTACTTGACTTGTCCAGAATGTTCTCGATAATTCTAGGGATATCGTATCGAGTATAAAACCGTTGCAGAGATAGCACGAGGTCAAGTCAGTAATCGGATCTACTCGAAGCGAAACAGCGAACGGATCACCTGAAGCGAAGCGGTAGAAGCGGATTGCGAGAATTTTAAAGTGTTCTGTGAGCGTTTTAAGTTAAATACAGTTTTAATTTATAATTCGGTAGAATTTTATTTATTCCGAACCCCAACGCGTATACTATGTTATTAGTGATTAGTAGTCCTGAAGGTTTTAAAAAAAAATTAAATTGAAGAATTTTATTCGAGCCCTACGCCCTACTAGAAGGTAAGAAAGAAGAAGACGGCGGATAAAACACCTGAAGGGCGGTTGAGCAGCATGAGGGAGTTTGGAGACAGTGGTAGGAGATGACACAGGAGCACCTCGGTCAGGTACTACTGGTGGGGCGAAGGGTGTGTTGTATACTCACGATGAGGAAGACCTGCGTGAGGCGGTGCAGCGTGGCGCGGTACCAGTGCGTGTGAGGGTCCCGTGCGTCTGTATCACAGCGGACGAGATGCTCCGAGAGGATCATGATGAACCGCTGGAACACGATCAGGAAGAGCCGCTTCTGGTCCATATGTGCAGCTTCCAGGCGCTCCTCCATACGCTCGACCGCCTGGAATACAAACATTTGGTACAATGCGTTGGTTATATATACCTCTTGACTTTTTGGCGAGAACGACTCATCAGGTTTGAGCCCCGTGAGCTCACCTACTAGTTAAGGCGACGCTGATATAGCCTCTCAAGGCTATCAGCTTAGGTAGGAAAAAAAATCGGTTGTCTGTAAAGTCGGTTTACTGACGATAGTTGAACGTGACAACGTCAAGAAAATACTGATGGAATGGTTTCATTTTTCAAAAGAACATTTTAATTTTATTTGTTTGATAGATATTTTGTATGGATATAGAGAAGGAGGTAAATGGAAATCACTATTGAATTGATCAAGTTACATTTATTTGTACGCATAAATACAATTATGTAATTTTTTTTTTCAATGTACATAGTTTTTTTACAAGTATGAATGGAATGTGCTGTGAATTGTATTATTGTATAGCAGCTGTCCACGCGGATGCATCGCTCACTCAAGTAGGAGAAAGACAAATGTCGAACGCTGCCGAACGCGGAGGCCGATTGTGCCTCTTTGTCGCTCGTTGCGCGCTCTCGCTTGCACTTCAAGTCTTAAATGGAACGCCTCAGAGCGAGGTAACGCCGCATGAGTCATGTTTTTTCGTGCGTACAGCCGGCTCCATCGAATTAAAAGACGTAGTCACGTCAAAAAAAAAGGCGAGAACGCGAGTACTGAAGTTGTGTGATTTATTTTATTTTGTCTATTTAGTGTTTCTTCAGGTTTATATGAGTAATAACGGTGGTTTATTAACTGTTTAATATCTGTGAATGTGCAAAAATGTGGGAAAATGAAACAAAGCCGCTGAACGTAACTTCTCAGGATCCTTCAAAAGGTCCACTGAAAAAGTCTCAAAATGACCACCATTTTACTGAGATTATATTTCATCCCATATCATCTCATTTCACTCCTTATTTTCAATATTCATAAAAATAAGAATATAAATTAAAATAAGATATGACTTAAAGGTCTTAGTTACTAGGTCATAATATCCCAAAAAGAAAAGTTATACCTCTTCAGTAGGCTTGTCCTGGTCTTTCTTCTTCTTACTGTTCTCATCTTCAGAATCCGAACTGCTCGAGTCCGCTCTCGCTAATGCTTCGCGGGCTTCCTGGAGTTCTGCACCTGTTAAACAAATTGGATGTTGTAATTTTTTTTTTGCTTCACGGCAGAAATAGGCAGGATGGTGGTACCTACCCGTGCGGACCAGTAATTACGCAAATTATAATTTTGCGGGTATGATTTTTATTACACGATGTTCCTTTCACCGTGGAAGTCAATCGCGAGCATTTGTTGAGTACGTATTTCATTAGAAAAATTGGTACCCGCCTGCGGGATTCGAACACCGTTGCCATCGCTCAACACGAGTGCACTGGACGTCTTATCCTTTGGCCACGACGACTTTAAACCTCTGCTTGCATCTACCGTCATAGATTTTGATTTGTAAAACACAAGCAACTTACTGAGCTTCGACACGTGCTTGTTCATTTTGTCGATGGTCAGATGCAGCATCTCCCAGAGGCAGCCGTGCGTGAAGTAGGGCGCCATCTCCTTCGAGAAGAGCCACGTGGCGACGGCGCTGCACTCGACGATCTGAGTCTTGAGCATCTTGTCGATGAGCACGCAGACCATCTGCGGGTGTCGCTGCCACAGCTCCCACACGTTGCGGAGGATGCATATCTGCGCCTCCTCAGACTCGGCTAAGATCTGTAAAATTTAATAAACGTTTTCAAAATCACGAGTTCAATTTTTTTAATTTTTTTTGCTTAGATGGGTGGACGAGCTCTCAGCCCACCTGATGTTAAGTGGTTACTGGAGCCCGTAGACATCTACAATGTAAATGCCGCCACCCGCCTTAAGACATTAGTTCTAAAGCCTCCGTTTTTACAGTGGTTGCCCCACCCTTCAAACCGTAACACATTACTGCTTCACGGCAGAAATAGGCGGGGTGATGGTACCTACCCGTGCGACTCACAAGAGGTCCTACCACGAGTAATATTCCACTAGTAATATACCACCAGTTCGATTCAGTTTTCGTAAGTTATATCCATGCCACCGGTGACCGAACACTATGGACGAAAGTCACATGTGGTCGCGATCCTCAGCCGTGAGCGAACGATGAAGAAGAAGGTTCCGTGTAGTCAACTTTTATACAATTATCACTTCATAATTTGGATCATATTGGGATATACTATTGGTAAAGGAACGTCTTTATTTTCCGAAATGTGTAACTGTAATACGGATGTAATTCTCGGATAGTGTTTTTTTTCTGTTTAACGCGAACTAACCTTAAAAACGTAATGAAACTTCGAGATCGCAGCGAAACTGTGCGAAATGCTCTTGCTGCCGAGATTCAGCAGGGTCTGCACGAAGACGTCGATTTTCAGGGGGTTGTACGCGGTCGGCTGGTTGGCCGTTTGTTCGCCCTCCTTGAGGGGGTTCGGTAGGTCGCGGAGAACGTTCAAGGCTTCTTCGGGTGTGCACTTGTTACGCACGAATACAACGAGCTGATGGGCGGCTTCGGTGCCGGGTAGAGCAGCTGTTTAAAAAAAAACATTCCTAAATTTAAAAAAAAAACTAAGCACATACTTCTTATACTTAGATACTAGAAAGTACCGACAGGATTATATCTTATCTTATATCTTTAAACGAGAAATTCTTGTATAGTTCTTCAACTAACCATATTTCACATACGTGTTTAAACTACTGCAGATGATCCATCAACAATTAATGTAGATGGTAACAACGTGATAGCTAGAGACCATAGCGAACAATACCACGACTGAGCGGTTGCGTAAAATTACCACACCTCCGTTCCGAAGCAATGGTAACGATCATGAGAATATTTCGTTCATTCACTAAAACTTCGATATAAATCTTTCTTTCTTATCTTTAATATGTTTCTTTCTTATCTTTCGTATTTTTAATACGGTTTGTTTTCGAATAGACCATCACGGTATTCATATTGCACTAGACAGATGGAGGTACCTATACTGAGACCCTTAGAACTTATATCTCAAGGTGGGTGGCGCATTTACGTTGTAGATGTCTATGGGCTCCAGTAACCACTTAAGACCAGGTGGGCTGTGAGCTCGTCCACCCATCTAAGCAATAAAAAAAAGAAAAGGTAGTTAACGAGGTGAATAACCTAGCGTTTGGTGATAGACAGAAACAACTTAAGACAAAGTTGAAGCCTCAATGGTTTACAGTAAATTAAAATAATTAACTCGTTCAAGTAGGAGGCGCTTAAGGAGACGAATAACATAGCCTTTGGTGATAGACGGAGACAACTTGAGACATAAAATTGAAGCTTCCATGGTTTACAGTAAATTAAAATAAAATTAACTCGTTCCAGTAAGCAAGCTTACGCGTTACATCTATCTTTTGTTTTAGATTTGGTAAAATATAAATGAAGCCAGAACACAATCTGGTGACAATAACACGCAATGAAACCTAATCTAAAATGGGCGGCCGCATGTTTGATCCTCTGTATTGAGGGAATCAGATGGGCGCCCATCAACTACCTTCATTTTACATTGCGGGTACAAAAATAATATGAACTTATTACAAATATACATTTTATATGGTGGTAATGAATTCCAAGAAAGAAAAATAATCGAATAGTGTCGACATTCAATAAACAGTGACACATCACGATAAATTGTTTTATTAATTACATTTTCTCTTTTCTATTGATGATATATTTTTTAAAGCTTTGATAGGAATAACTACTAAACGAAAGCGAAATTAAAATCGGTTATAATATATTATATCGAATCTAAAATATACATTAAGCTCTTTTTTACAACGATTTTTGTAATAACGCAAACAAACTACATATTTACTTTTTGTAGATAAAACAATATTCAAATTTACACAAGAATATTTATGTAAATAATTTAAAAAAAAAATTAGGATATTAAACGCGAATTAGCAATTCATTGGGGCATATATGCATAAAATTTATACTCCTACTTACTATTTTCGATTCTCAAGATTCTACTGCCGCGAAAATTACGAATATAAAGCGGAGAAAAATCCAAGAGATGGAAAGTGCGCACGCGACGAGCTAGAAATTTCACCGGCAAACGCGTGCTTATTACAATGTATACTTTCTTTATACGACAACATACCGTCCAAACAGAATCGTAAATTAAATAATGAATTTCAAAATTGCACACGATTCAATTAAACTAAAAACAGCATAACTCAGTAGTTGTAAAATACTTTTAAGCTTTAATCTCGTAAAAAATATATATTTTGCGGTAAACGTACACTCTTGGAAAATGTACACTTTTACCGGTAAATGTGCACATTTGCCAAAAAGTTAGGTATATGTGAACTGAATATAATGTAGATATATGTACATTTGCATATTGCTGCAAATGTGGACATTTACCGGAAAATGTGTACATTTGCCGCAATATCTATTTTTAGCGTAACATATACATTTTAAAATTTCGATCGATCTTCTAAAGTTTTCATGTTTGTGAAAATTGAATCATCATTATGATTTTTAAATAAAAAATTTATTGCACTACGTAGTTGAACGAGCTTATGGGTTCAGCAATGCGATTGCCGGAGCCCATAAACTTCACAAAACCCCGCCTTTTTTTTAAACACATCGAATTCAGAAATAGACCGTGTGATGATTAGCTCGATATTAATATGTGGCGAGTAGCTATCATACTACACAAGATATTTGACAGATGCCTGAATCTCGCTTACGGCATTTTCAAGATAAGCTTACCTACATATATACAAGTTGCGAACAACAACATTTTAATAACACTGAACGTATTATTAATTAGGCCAGGACCGCTTAAAATTTTCATAATGTCCACAACTCGCGAAAATTTTTGATGACTATTTAGAGATTCTTTGTCGCTGTCGTGAAAATCGTTGAGGAGCTAACGATGATTAAGCAATTAACGCGTTACATAACTTTCTTTTAGAGCTAAGTTTAGAGCAACAACGGTGTCTTCTTACTTGTCATTCTATATTTAAATGTACTTAAAATCGAACTCTGCATTCAATGAATTTATGTTAAAATTTAAATTTCGTAGAATCAAAAACTAGCCCCAAAAATAAACACAAAAATCGATCGATTAATTTTAAATGTAACCACATTGTCTTGAAAAAATCGTGAATTTAGAATTTCAAATGTTCAGGATTGATTTCCACGGTGAAGGAATAATAACATCGTGTAGTAAAAATCAAACCCCTAAAATTATAATTTGCGTAATTACTGGTGGTAGGACCTATTGTGAGTTCGCACGGGTAGGTACCACCGCCCTGTCTGTTTCTGCCGTAAAGCAGTAATGCGTTTCGGTCAGAGGGGTAGGGTAGCCGTTGTAACTATACTGAGACCATAGAACTTATATCATCTCAAGGTGGGTGGCGGCATTTACGTTGTAGATGTCTATGTGCTCCAGTAACCACTTAACATCAATCCAAGCAATAAAAAAAAAATGAACCAAAGAACGGCGATCATATAAACAATAACACGGCCGATAGTACAATCAAGATACGATGTAAGTACAGTCGTTAGCATAGCAGCAGCTGTTGCACAATCTCGGTTTCCTTGCTCACGACGCATTACAACATTTCCCACGGAATACCGTCTTCGCGTAACACAGCTTAAAAAAAATACATTCCAAACATTAAATATCCACTTTAATTAAATAATTAAAATATCATTTTTGTATCATATTATAAGAATTACGGAACTGTAAGATTCTTTGCATTTGCAACTCGTAATCTTGACGTATTTAAATGATTTTTGTCGTATCATCTATCTTTAATTTGTGTAAGGTAGGTATTGTAATTGATAAGAGAGAACTCAACCGAGAGAGAGAGAATAGAGAAAACTAGAATGTTAATGTTCTGTGTCGATCATTGTCAATCTCATAGAAATGGCGATTCAATTCGCAAAAATAGAATAAATCAGTCCTTATTACCTATGCCATATCGATTAATGAAATCTAGTTTTAAGCATAACACACACATAAAAACTCGTCATGATTCAAAGGATAAGACGCCTGGTATACGCGCATCGAACGATGCCGATATGCCAATGTCCAAATACCGCAGGTGGGAAATTTTCTAATGAAATATTCTATATACTCAAACTCACAACAATTATATTCATGAATGTCTTTCACAATAAAGCCCAAGCTTTCACAAAAAAGCGGCACGACACGAGAATCCTCTCGTCGTGGCCGCGAGTAACTACATTCCCGATCTTGCGGACCGAATGGTCCGGACCGGTCATCGTTCTCGTCGAACCCAAATTAACCCACAGACACAGCTCACTGAGTTTCTCGCTGGATCGTCTCAGTGGGTCACATTTCCGATCCGGTGGTAGATTCTGCGAAGCACTGCCCTTCCTAAAGTTAGTGTTAGCATCGTCATCAGGTTTGAGCCTCGTGAGCTCACCGACTTGTTAGGTTACGCTGGCATAGCCTCTCAAGGCTACCAGCTAAGGTGTAAAAAAAACGATAAAGGACAAATATCAAGTAATAAAAATCAAATTCGATGAAAAAAAGCGTAATTATTATACTATACAATAAAATAGTGTACCTAAGTTTCACTGTTGATGACGCATTCACGCTGTGATGTCTATGGACTCCGCTAAGCACTTAACACCAAGCCCTTAAAACGTCTAAGGGTTTTTTTATTGCCTAGATTTAGAGCTAACAGCCCACCTGGTGTACATCAACAATGTGAATTCTGCCATCCACCTTTAGGGTCACTGCACACGGGCCACTAGCCACATCTACAATCGCCGCCACTTGAAACTAGAAGCGGCCACTTGTGGTCCATGTTGGACACTTGCGGTCGGTGGTCGCTACTTTTTTTAACGCGTACTTGCAGTATCATAATGAACTCCGACGAAAAAACAAAGGGAGAGAGGGGTGGGGAGTCGCGCGAGTGGCTTGTGTCGGCATTTTGTGGCCGAGTCGACCGCTAGAGGCATGCCGTGGCGATTTGTGGGGGGTGGCGACCACCGGCGTCTACAGTGTGCGGCGAGTCCATGCCAAATGTATGAAAACAACAGGAAATAGGTCAGTGGCTGCGTTTTGTGGTTGTGGCTGGTGGCCCGTGTGCGGCGACACTTACGACATGAATTCTAATCCTCAGTACAACAGCTGCCCCGCCCTTCAAACACTTTACTGATTCACGACAACAATAGGCAGAGTGGTAGTACCTACACGAGCGAGCTCATTAGACGCCCTACCACCACTAAGGAATTAAATGAAAAAAAGAGTCGAGAATTAGTGTTGTGCTTGAGAGGGGTTGCGAAGGAGCCGATGCTACGTTTGATCAGTCAAGGCAAGTTGGTGCGACAGCACCGCACGCGCTTCGAACGGCGAAACGATAGATATAAAAAAAATATATAAGCAAATATTTTGTCTGTGAAACCCGTGTGCAGTGACTCAGTGGACAGAGATGAGATCCGCTCTGCTATGCGTTTTCATTGCGCTAATAGTTGTGAGTACATCATATCGCTTTTTCGCATTAAAAGTGTACAATTGCCAAACCTATTCGAAATTGAGTTAATATGCGTAAACATTTGGTACCACCAGTATATTTCTGATAAATACTGTCAAGAAAGCGTAGTTTAGTTTTAGTTTTTTTAGTTTACTTATGTTTTGACTGCCATTAACAAAATTAGTACATAATTTTATCTTACTTTAAAAGACAGATAATGTTATTGGTAAAAACTAAAAAATAAATGTTGCAAATATGATTAATATTAAAAATATAATATGTTAAACCTTTAAGACACTCTCCTGTAAAATTAGTAAGTTTTGAAATTATACAGTTTTAATGCGAGAAGACGATATATTTCCAAGGATACCTTGTAAATTTTCTAGTGATGTTAATTTTAATCAAAATCTTATTTTCTGCTTTTTTTTTTAAAATAACTATTTAACAATAATATTTTATACGTTATTTATTTTTAAATAAATATGATAAATTTAATATAAAATAAATACAGAAGCGATTATTAATACTAGTTGAAGCTTTCATTAAAGGTCTATAGTTCTTAAAACTACTTTTACGGTAGAATCACGTTTTTTTTTAAATTGTCATTACATTAGCTCCGACGTTCCGAATACTTTACAGTTTTCGTTGTCACGCCCAATTTTTTTTTTTTATTGCTTTGATATGTGGACGAGCTCACAGTCCACCTGGTGTTAAGTGGTTACTGGAGCCCGTAGACATCTACAACGTAAATGCGCCACACACCTTGAGATATAAGTTCTAAGGTCTCAAGTATAGTTACAACGGCTGCCCCACCCTTCAAACCGAAACGCATTACTGCTTCACGGCAGAAATAGGCGGGGCGGTGGTACCTACCCGTGCGGACTCACAAGAGGTCCTACCACCATTGAAGACTATTAAAAGTATATGCAGTAAATGCTCTCTATTCGCGGGGTATACATTCCGTATATATGCCGCGGAAAAGCGCGTTTACACATGATATTGATTTGGTTGAATCCCTACTTGACTTTTTTTATCAGGTATGCACCGATGAGATCCGCGAATAAAGAAATATTTAGTCCCGAATATAGGAATGGGAACGTATCTTTTCAATTCCGCGAATAGTGAAAACGCAACTGAAGGAAGCGGGAATAAGGAGCTTTTACGCGTTGATATGCGTTCAAATATATCACTTTATAAAACTTTGTACTGTTTGCAGTAGAAAAAATCGTAATAAAAATCTTATTATCGATATGTAATCGATGCTTGAAAGGCAAACGTGACTAAGCGACAATGCGTGAACTTTACAGTAGACTAATTTAAAGTTGAAATATTTGAAAACAAAAATTATTTTAACGAATCTAGCTGTAGTAGAATCTAGCTAGTAGCTGTAGGATTGAAATGATTTTAATAGACCTAGAAATATATTTTGTTTGCGCATCGAATATGGTTATTGCCTATCATTTATGTACAAAGCAGTTATTGTCGCTTAGTCACGTTTGCCTTTCAAGCGTCGATATACAGCATTTCTGTATTACCAAAATTATTAATGTACTTACTTATTGATTTAAATTACATATCTACATATTCAACAAAAAAAAAACTTTATAAATGTTAATCTCCAATTTGCGATTTTTTTCCCTACCTATTCTTGTGACCTCGAGGGGTCATGCTAGATTCACCGGACGAGTAGGGGAGCTCACGGGGCTCTTCTAATCTAGTGACGTTACTAACACTAGCCCTAGCAAAAGCAATGCTTCGCAGAATCTATCACCGGATCGGAAGCGCGACCCACTAAGAAGAACCGGCGAGAAACTCAGTGTGCTATGTCTGACGCTATTTAAGTCACAGGTCGCTTGTGAAAACAAAATCGTTTTTTTTTTTTTGTTAAATCTAATCACCCAATTGAATTAACCCAGATCAAACATAATCTTAAATTACGTTTCGCAAGTCACAAACGTCTATATGAGAAAAAACCAAGGTCGGACAGAACCACATAAAAGACTACAAGTCGCGCGTTCAGTGAGCTATATATGTATGTATTATGTTTACAACAATAATGAAATTAATTCAGATTATGATAGAACAGCGACCTCCGGCGTTACTATTGTTCGAAAGAAAAATTTTCGCATAGCCGGAGCCACCCAATGAAACGGTTCGCTCACTCAAGCGTGCGAAGCGAAATAATATATTAATTTGAATCACACAAGTTGAAATACATACATTAACTATTCGCAAATAAATAATCGTCGAAAAATCACACACGGTCGCCTGGACCCAAATTAATATTCCTTATACTATTGGGGACGGATACACACACTTATATATGTTTAAATGTATACATACCTAGTCCAGCCATAAGTTCTGTTACAAATGAAAATGCACTTTTTTATTGTAAACTAGCTGACCCGGCAGACTTCGTAGTGTCTCAATCGATAAATAAAAGATCTAATCTTTTGTATAAAATAAACTTAAAACAAACAAAAAGAATCCTTCCGACGGGGAAGACATCAAAGGGAAAACAAAATTGTTCTTTTTGTTTAATTCCGAGCATTTTCATATTTATCTACCTTTTAAACCTTCTCTGGACTTCCACAAATAATTCAAGACCAACATTAGCCAAATCGGTCCAGCCGTTCTCGAGTTTTGAGTGAGCGAGACTAACGAACAGCGATTCATTTTTAGATTTAAAAATAATAGGTATACGTGTTCGAAAATCAAAATAATTAAAAAGTTGAAAAATAAAGATAAGTTTTTATGTAACCGTATGTAGTCGATGATCTTACAAATCAACAAATATCATTTGGTAATCAACTAAGTATTTTAGTAATTTGTAATACAATTTTTTAATCGTCAATAATACGACCGTGAATACTAAATAATTTTTGTAAGTAATGTTTATGGACCGAGTAATGAAACCACACACTGTCTGTTAGATTAATCGGGAATGTCTCTAGTAAGGTAACCTTCGTTATTCCAATGCACCATTCGCGGTTCGTAGAGTACGGTTAGACGTCTCAAGCAATTGAGAGACGCATGTATCAAGGCGGACGACAGAATCACGCATCTATGGGCTCAGACAACTTAATACCAAGCTAACTGTGAATTCGTTTACACACTTATAGCAACCAAGGTAGGCAGCGTCTTGGCTCTGCCCCTGGCATTGCTGAAGTCCATGGGCGACAGTAACCACTCACCATCATGTGGGCTGTATGATCGTCTGCCTACAAGAGCAATAAAAAAAAAATTTAGGATGATGCTTCATTCCAACCCACTGAGTTGTATCGGATCGTGTCACTGAGTACCGCGATTCCGATCCGGTAGCAGATTCAGCGAAGCACTGCACTTGCTAGGTCAGATGTTAGCAAACTTTCTCAGGGTCCCGTGAAGCTACTGGCCGATAGGTGAGCAAAAAAATTACCAGAATGTTGGAGTTCCAATAATTTTTATTTTCAAACTTTTAACCTGACTACCGTCAAAAATTACAATTATTCTAATGACATTGCAACATTTATGTTGGCTCAAAGTCAGTGGCTAAGCTACATCATGCTCTTAGCGGTTTACCCTAACATTTATTAGTTTTTCCGAATGTCCCGTTGACTGGAGTTTAAGTATGGAGTTCTTGGGTGCGCACGGTAGCCTGCTAACCATGCGTTTACATTGTTCATGGCATTGACAACCGCTATAGGTTTCCTCTTACATACGTCAATCCCAACAAAAAATATCGAAATATAATTAAAAACACTAAAAAAGTTTAACTTGTATAATGATTAACATTTCATCAATTCAATAAGTTAGCAGTCGAAAAACTATAGTTTTAAAATACATTTGAAAAAAACCACTTGCAACGATGCGTCGTCGCGGTACATAAACATTTGGCTCTAGATCACCTTCCGATAACAAAGGTGTTATCATCACACGATCGCTCAATTGGCGCAAATGGTTGCAAATGGTTCAAGCGTTTTAATTACTTGCTTTGATATCACTTAAAACCATTTTTCCACAAGACTATACTAGCAATTTGGAAAATAGATAAAAAAAATATGCTTTCATATGAAAGTAATCTACACATAACCAACAAAATGAAAAAATAATTTTAAACTATAGATGTATATTCAACGAAAGACACAGTTTCGACTTAATGAATAACTAATTCGTAATGGCTAAGTACGTTCGTATTAAAATTATTCGATTGGAAACTATAGCAAGCAAGCTGGATCGTCCGGCACGCAACATCTTTGTGACACGCCAACCGCTCTACCGTACTTTCCCGGCTGCCGTTTTACTTTCAAACGCATTCTCAAATGACCAGTTGGAGTTGATGAAGATTTTGAAATTTTGCTCTTCTTTTTTTAGATTCCCGAACACAACTGCGAATCGACCGAAGAAGATGACTTTAGCCCTACGCCAATACCGCTAAACAATTGGCAAAGTAAACGACAAGATGGCGCAGGCACTTTGCAAGAGATAACCAAAAGTGACGCACTTTCTTCGGTTGCCGCTGTTCCGGCACATTATTGGGAAGACGCTTTAAGGCACAGCGTTTATCTTACTTTGGTCAGAGATAAAATAGACCAACTCATAGCGAAACCTGATAGCAAAGATGAACACGCGTCAAATGACTTTGACGACCACGAAATGTGGGAAAAAATTAAAACGGCCCCTTTCGATCGACGTAAAGCGGAAAATCCGGAATGGCTTGGTGACGTCACAATGGTGGCTAGAGGACGTCTCCTAGAAGAAAGCGATGGCTTCCGTTTCGCTGAAGACGAAAAAAGACAAAAGTGTAATGATGAAAAATGTAAGGAAGGCGTTAAAGCTTACTGGTACGTGAAGCGAGTGAGGCAAAGGGACGACGAAGCGATGTCAGGAAAGTACCACTATGAGTTAACTTTTTCTGTGACCTCGCACACATCGCCAAAGAAGAAACCGTACGAAAATGCAGTAAGGACTTATACTGTTCGAGAGACAACACCGACCGTAACAAAACGAGTACACGAAACGATTAACAATAGACCACAACGAGCCATCTGGGTTCATAAGAATATAGCACCATCAAATTATCATAAAAACCAGCACTACGATCAAGGTTTAGATAGAATTTTCTCTTCGTTATTCTCTGACGAGGATACATACGATGAGCCTTCGCCAAGATATAAGCAGCAAAATCACTTCAGTCCCCAAATTTATCCGCAACATTCTAAAACAGGGCACGTGACACAAAGTGATCATCACCATCATCATCATAATAAAATGATGCCTTATCCCTACAATCCCCCATCATACAAATATTCGCGACCATCCTACCAAACTTCACTATTTACTAATGTTCCTCCCTATGCGGACTTTGATTCGGGAGTGAACAATGCTCATCCATCTTCACTTTCAGATCACAGATATCTTTCATCAAACTTAGTGAAGACCACAAGGCCCGCCGTTTTACCTACTCCAGTTATGACACCATTATTGCCAACTTTGCCATCTTTAAAGAACGGAACATTCGACCTAAAATTTAACATAACCTATGTAGTATCCAAAGAACCCGAGCTCATGTCTGGTTATAAAAGTCACAATAAACCAAGACCAGCACCCATGAAAATAAGTTACTTCCCGGATCATGTTAGACCGCCAGTGTACAACGCACCTCCTGGAGTTTTTGTTACAATGGATAAGAAACCATTCAAGCCAATGCCACCATTAAAATTGACACATTCATCGAAGCCTCTAAAACCAAAACCAATAGATTTCCGACCTAGCCCACCAGTTCTATTTTCAAATCCGGATTCGTCATTTGATTCATCATTTCGTCCGATAACTATTGACTATGGCGAAAATAATACAACAACAGAGAAGGGTGTGATAAAAGAAAACAACAAATCGCGTCGAATCGTACCTAATGTCAGAAAATCAACGAAAAAGCAAGACAAAGTGAAATCATTATCAACATCGACCTCTTCACCTGATATAATAACAGTAAGTGACGCTTCAGTTGAGGATACCGACGCAATGGATTGGGCCAACGTACTAGGAGCTTTCACTAAAACAACACCTTTAGTAACAACAAAAAAAGTGAAAAAATTCAATGTAACAGAGAGCACTCCATCTACAACTGTTACAACTGAGTCTACCACTACGACGGAAGTCAAAAAGATAAATGATGAAACTAGTTCTACGTCCACAACTTCAACAACAACGACGACGACGGAAAAACCGAAGAAACGAACGCGACCGCCGCCGAAATTCACTAAAATCGATAAAAACAGAAAAAGGAAACCGGCCACTAGTAGAAACACAAGTACTACAAACGCTCCAGAGAAAATCACTAGAACACGCACAACACAAGATTTGACAGCTCAAGCGAGTTCTGCTGTGGTTAATGAAAAATCTGGTTGGAAGCCTAAGAATAAAACAACCTCAACCACGCCGATGACTACGTCCGTAAGTACTACGGCATCTTCTCTTGAATCAACAATGAGTACTACGGGCCAAACAACAACCATACATACAACTACCGTGTCTCAAAAAACGACCCTAAAGCCTTCAAGTACCTCCCCGTCTACAGCTTCTACCATACAAAACGAAATAGAACCTTCGACCATACAGCCAAGAAACAAGAATCGTTACAGACAATCTACACTAATGTACAAAGGCACATCGGTCAAACATGACAGATGGAATGCTATTTCATCAGAAAAAAATAAAACCATTGTTTCAAACAAATTTCCGAGAAGAAAGGTGTCTAATTTCCAAGGTTATGCACCGTCTACACAGAAATCAAATGATATAGAACTTGAAAAGAAGGCAGAACAAGATCATAGTACTAGTACAATAATAACTACTTTAATAGTAAATAAAAATATAAATGAAATAGAAAATAAAATAGCAACCACTGAAGCCACTTCTGATTATTCGGAGGAGAAAGATGATGAGAATAGCCAGGAGTCTACCACAGATCTTAATCAGACAGACGATTCGGAAGAGTTTGAGGACGAAAATAATCCAACGGAAACTAGTGAAGAACAAGAATCTCAAGATCACAGTGAATACATTTTTAATTCTACATCTAATCCTAACGAAAATTTAATTGAGAATCTTGAAGACAACGTAATAACAACTGAACAAACAATCATCACTTCATTATTTCCAACTGTAAAGAATAAAACAAAATGCAAAAAGAAGAAAAATCAACAATCACTAGCAACAAAACTAAGTTCATCAAATGATATGAAAGTAGAAATGCGGACAACGATTAGTACTAGCGAAAAAACAACAACAGTAGACTTCTTAGATGAATTGTTAGATTCATTAGATGAGACAAATAAACCAAGAAATGATTCAACACAACATATTAATAGTTATGATAGGCAAATAAATGAGGAGGACAGTACGGATATAGAAGAATTTTTGTCATCTCTTGAAACAAATAACAGAAACAGTGAAGAAGATATTGCTTATGATGTAGAGCTTTCGGATGAGTTTTCCCCTTTTAACAATGATGACGATAACAGAGGCTCCAGAAATGCAAACGACAATTACAGTGATTACCAAGACAGATACAGCATATTAGAACTGATGGCGATGGAGTAAAATTTTATATTGTTTTTAAAGAATTTACAGCTTTAATTCTGTTACAAACTATCGTCAAAAAAGTCGGCATGAACGCCAAAGATATAAAACGGCAATTATCTATTAAGTCGCAAAAAATGTAGAGGCATTTATAAGAATACTTTTTAGCAACAGTTCTTCCTCATAAAATGCACAAAACCTAATGTAAATAAGTGTTTAGTTAAGTGTAGTGTAAGATTTATTATCTGTTATTTTAAATGAATAAATTATTTCATGCTTATGTGTAATGTTATTTTCCTTACCTGCACCTTCCATGGAATACTTGTAGATTGGTTCAGGCTTGGGTGGCACAAATGATGCAAACGACTCTGGGACCATGTCTTTGATTCTTTGGTGGTAAGATAGCCTGAAAAATCACAAATAAGTATTTCATATTATCACTATTAATTGTAAATTGTCGATATAAAAACAGCTTTGAGACATCAAATTTTAGTTTTTAATTTACTAGAAATATATTTTATTTTCGTGTTTTTGTTAATATAATATTGAAATTCACTTATATGTTTATTATATTATTATTGTCATGTTCGCAAAATGTTAGCATAGAATATATAAGGGAAACTTTCATAAACTTGCCTTAGACATTTTCCGAGGACCTCTCTGATAAACCTGGGTTTTGGATGTTCAGGATCTAATTGGAGACACGCCTCCCAATCTTCCCATGACCATCTGTACTGGAAGTTGCTCAAATGGTAGGCAAACCAGTTCGCAAACCTTAAAAAAAAGACTACTTTAAAATATTATTTACTATTCAACTGTAATCTTCTTTAAGTGATATTTAAGATAACAACATTCTTCTATTCAACATTGTATCATTTTGTGAAATATGCTTGAACAGAAAACCCCAAAATAAAATTTTATATTGTTCATTAATTATCCCATAGCTATACACATGCACATACATACATTTAAAGAAAAATATAAATTAAAAGATAAGGTGTAAGTGTCTTGAGTCCACAAAATTAAAATGAAACTATCAATGTATTCAAATTTCATCCAAGGTTAACATACCTGTCAAAGCAAGCAACATTCATGGTGTCAATCCTCATGAACAAAATTTCAGTAGCTTGAGCTAGAACCTGTGGCATTGTTGATGGCTGAAGCTTGCAAAGTTCAATTAATATTGAACCATAACATATCTCCAAATACCTTGGTTTTGGCAAATTAAATAATTCAGCAAATATCACCTCAACTATGCAATATTCCAGAGGAATTTTGGCTTTGTAAGGAAAGCAGAGGAGTTGAGCAGCACATTCTTTACGTTCTAAATGATATGTCTCAATAATATTGTGCAAATGTTCTTCTATCAAGAATCTCTCTATAGAGTGCACTCCAGGCAAAACTGGTCCGTCTGGACAGTCTGTGTAGTCAAACATACGGAATATAACCCGAGGCATTGGATAAGTATCAGTGTCATTATGGGGTGGTGGCTGAAATATAAAAACATCATCAATTATTACCATATGATTTGTAAACGAAAATATTATATTGGTGCAACTTTTTAAAAAAAGTTAACTTTTTATTAGTTTTGTTACCGCATTTATTAGTCAATCTTTACATGTAACATTTATTTATGGCACCCCTGGCACACAAGCTGAAATAAATTAGTCTGCAACCTTTGCTTGAAGAAACACATGTTCTTCAAGCCTCGAACTTCCACAGGGCAAGTTACTTCTAGTTCCAAAGTGTGTGTAAGGTAAATTAAATAAAATGCACTAGAAGTGGGCAGCTCCAGATATAACTAGTAAACTGTACTTTGGTGGTAATGAACCATATAAATACCATAATCGAATACCATAATCGAACAAAACCAAAGTATGTAAACTTTAACTAATTTGTATTAGAAAATCATAGTATATCTATTATAAATTCATATGATACCTGAATGGCAGGAAGTGTGTGTTGTAAAGCTTCACAAAGAATAGAGTCAAAGGCAAGATATGGCCTTGGAATATGTTTCTCTGACCAATTGTCTTGTTTCAACTTCTTTATCTGAGACCAGAGGCAATCCAAATATTCTTCTTGTAAATGAGGTGAATCAGCCGACCACACCTTTAAGGCTGGCCAATGTTTCTTACTCCGTTTATTCAAGAAAACCTCTATAGTCACAAGTAAGTGATCTAATTGAGATTCCTTCTTTTCATACAACTCCCGACCAACCCAAGGTAATGCTGACAGCACCGCAAATACAAACCAATCCCTTCTGACGTGAGGTACTCCATCTTCATTAGCAGAATCTACTAATGTCTCTAATAAAGTCAGCAATGATGAAGCAGCCAATACGTGACAGTTCACCAAGTCCGCAATGAACCTTAGACAATACCTAGCAGCATTCCATTTCCCGACTTTAAGATTTTCTTTAAAGGTTTTTACTATGTAATCAACAAATTCTCCACCAAAGTTATAATTCTTTGCATTCAACAAACCAACAAGAGTTGCATAGATTGTACATTTCTCGGGCATGCGGATAGCACAATCCGTTAGTATCCGTAGTATTTTAACTCTAAAGGTACTCAAATCGGCTTCCAGTACACTTGCTAATCCTTCTAGGTTACTCTCCAAACTGGAACTACTTTTTTCGCCAACTCTTAAAATTAAGGACTCTAAGCGATCCTCGATTTCTTGGTTTTCAGATACACGACGCCTTTTCCGATGGAGGCGTTCTGAAAATAGTAAAAACAATTACATACTTCACAATGTACAAATAAAATTAAATATAACCTGTATATGTTTGATCTTAACAACTCACCATATCCTTCTTCATCATCATGTCCTCTACGACGGTTCATAATAAAATCACTGTGCGTATCACAAATCTTTGACTTTTCTCTTTATGCTTTTGTTTACGAAATCGTATTTTACGTTTAGAACAGAAAAAACGATAGCAAACTCAACAAGCTTTGAATAAATTTTCAATGTCTTCAACTCCGAAATCTTGCGACAAAGCAGTGCTGTCAGATGACCGTGTGAATTTCCCTCCAACTTTTTTTTAAAACCCCCCGAAAAATAAGCTTTTTGAAAAAAAAAACCAAAACAGCTTTTACTTAATTTAATGAAGAAATAAAATACAAAAGTATTCTTTTATTGGAACGAAGTTCCTTACGGCAAGCTTGGAGGGGATAGGGATTTTGCTGCGCGACCGAACTGAAAAAAATGTGATAGTAAAACCGTAAGAAAAAATCCGTGGAAAAAAGTGCGTGGAATAAAACCGTTAAATGAGACGTGCGCAGGCGCGACAGTCGCATACACAAGCGAGTAGTGTATATACCTTTCTCTTTCTCCTTCTTACTTTTCGTTCTCTAATCCCTTCTCTCTCTATTTAGTAATTATTTCTATTTCTATGTAATTTTATGTTGTCAACCAAAAATAAAGAGATATATTTTGTTATTTTAATTGATAATTTGAATTACTATTTTTTTTATTTTACGTAATTTATTATTTTCTAAAATACTCAATTTCCTAAATACTTTCCCGTGCTTAAATAAAAACTAATCAGCAAAATTTAAGAGAAAAACCAAGAAAACCTACATAAAATTGAGCACCATTTCTTTTTTTGCAAATTGTGTCGATTCTACATTAGCCCAAGGAACTTCGTTCCTACCTGGTGTCCCACGACACCACATCTTTTTTATTTTTTAATCAAGCTATCCCATAACTTCAACCACCTCTAAAAAATTTTTTACAATCATATTCACTTTCGTTTTTATTATATAAAGAATACACGTTTTCGGAGTTAAAGATTAAAAATCTTACATGTCCGATGTGGGAACAAAATTTATGGATCCTTATGGCAGTGAATATTGAATCTCGAGAACCGCTTCGACAGTTTCTATTGCCTATTCATCCGGTTGCGTAATTTTTCCTTTATAATATTGTTTTGTGCATAATACGTATAGTAGATTATAAATATTCTAATAGTGATGGGAATTGTGTTTGTGGATGAATTATATAGTGCTCAAAAAACCTCCGAAATTTCTCCCAACTACCTTTTTCCCCCCAAATGTCCCCTAAAGAATCTTCCCCGCCGAATCTCATCTTCAAGGTCAAAAAACCCCCGAATTTGCAGGAATTCCCCCCCATCTGGCAACTGTACGACAAAGTGACAATCTTGAAATATCGTGTCAAGTTGTCAACTGTCAGGACTTTTTCTTTCAGTAACTGACAGTAGAGTTCATTTCCCAAAGGTCTTCATGAAACATCATTACAGCCTATCTTTTATTAACTATTTTTTAAAAAATGATATGGTGCGTAATAAGGTGAAATTGATTTAGACTGTAATAAATTGGGATGACACTAAATAAAATGAGCTGAGATGGGATTGTAGCAACTAAAAAATCCACTGTCACAACTATAGTCGGATTTTTAATTAGACGAAGCCAGCTGACAGTAGCTAATGTCACTTTGTGATATAATGTTGCTATATTTAAAGTAATAGTGATGCGTTCGGTTCTCGTTCAATCACATGAATGAACAATGAGTGTGAAGAGTTAATCATTAAATTCAAACTATAAAAGAATATTATTTATATTTTACAATAAAATTGTATTAAAGTGCTCCAATATACGTTACTAGTAGTATGTAACTACAATCAGTTTTATTTTATTTTCATAACCTACCTATAATTGTTATATTTTATACATCTATAGTTTCAACTATATGATGTATTGGAAATAGGACAGTCTAACAAGCTTCCCCGCAATGTTTTTCTTAATGTTTGAAACACTCGGTATTCAGTTCAGGTAGATACTATAGGAACATAATATTTCGTCGAAAACTCGTTGGTATGTACAAAACACGCCTAAAATTCGAACCCCGTACCCGATATCGGCAATTCGGCACACCAACTATTCACTAGACAATGGAGGCAATTTCATTAATTCAGGAGTTTTTTCAATCGTTCACTTTGTCACAACACTATTTTTATTTCATCAAAAACTGACAACACAGTAAACGTCAGTTGACTTCGTCTAATAAAAAATCCGACTATAGATAGTAACTTCCTATTTGGAGGAAATTGAAAAAAAGAATAAATATTGAAAGATTACGACTGCGCCGTCCCCAAAAACAGGTCTTATTATACCTAAGCATTTCTCAAATTTTTTGCACATAGCCGCAATGTTGATGTCCCATACTTTGGTCTTTGGTAATTTTTTTACTACGATAATATAAATAACATAACTGTCGTAACTTCATTGATATTACTTAATTATCAGAGAAAATATCAAAACAACAAATAAACCACACTAACGCGTTCTAACGCGAGTCCTCATACAACGCAAGACCTCATACAACGTGAGACCTCATACAACGCGAGACCTCATACAACGCGAGACCTCATACAACGCGAGACCTCATACAACGCGAGACCTCATACAACGCGAGACATCAAACAACGTGGGACCTCATACAACGCGGGACCTCATACAACGCGTGACCTCAAACAACGCGATATCTCCAGCAACTCGGCACCTCATACAACGCGAGACCTCACATAATGTGAGACCTCATACAACGCGAGACCTCATACAATGCGAGACGTCAAACAACGCGGAACCTCATACAACGCGGGACTTCGTACAACGCGAGACCTCATACAACGCGGGACCTACTTTGTAGTAGAACGATCGCAATAAATCGCAATAAGATCGCAAATCTCGCAATAAATAAAACCATCATCATGGACATCATGCCATGGGCGCTACTCACAAAGGGGTGCCAAACTTAAAACGTTTTAGTTTTTATCTCCTTAGTGCATGGTAATGAATAGTATGATTTTAACACGAAAGTTGTACTCCCAAAATATTCTTATAATAACGTCGGCTTATTGCAAGAACTCATTAACTGCAAAAAATCACTAAATGCGTTTTTATCTATAATGGGCTCATTTTTGCATATTCTACAAAATGCAAAAACACACTAATTTCTAGCTGGCCAATTTTAGCCGTTACGTCTTTGGTAGAAAATTGATAATTGCAACTTTGGAAGTCAGGCATTTACAAAGATTCACTAAGCAGCNTCAAGACGGAATAATCGAGCAACGGTTCAAGCATCTAGAATACGAAATCAATTCAAATTTCAAATTTTATTTCAATAATCCTATCCAAGAGTATCTAGGAAACCATTAGTACCAGAAAATTGTTGTTTTATTTCGTCCCACATTTTTTTTATAACATGCCTATATTTATGATGTGGATGTTTTGACATCCATATTTCTGGTCTACTCGGTATTTCACTAATGAATTGTTCCACATCCATTATATTTTATTAGCTCAACGCGCGGTAAAAACAAAATGATTTGTTTCGGTCGCGCGATGCCTCAATGCGTCCACCGACACCGCCGCGCGCGCCGCTCTGAGCTGTGGCCACCTCCATATTGTCTAGTACATTTGTTTCACTCGCACATGGCGCAGCTCGTCGCCGCCAGATGTCACGCGCTTCTCACCGCGCCTCGCAACGCACCGCAAAACGCACCGCCAGTAGCTGTGGCATACTTCATAGGTTGTCTACCATTTGTTTTCGCCGCTCCCGCTTGCCGCGCCTCACGACGCACCGCAATTCGCACCGCTCTCGGCTGTGGCCAAGGGGTAAGATCGCAAATCTCGCAATAAATAAAACCATCATCATGGACGCTACTCAAAAAGGGGTGCCAAACTAAAAAACGTTTTATTTTTTATCTCCCTACTGCATGGTAATCAATAGTATGATTTTAACACGAAAGTTGTACTCCTAAACTATTCTTTGAATAATTAGAAATCACTGAAATTTCTATATGCTCGTTAATATTCAATATTATTAAAAATAACAGAATTTATTAAAACCGCGCTAATCGTACATTAACGACTAATTGGCTGTCTTCATTGACATTTTTCTGTTGAAGTATTGTTGAGGTTTGTTGAAGTTTTCTATATTTTTTTGATCTACAGCTCGACCAAGCTAAGTTTGCACCGCGCATCGATTACGTCACACTGCCGCTTAGGTATGGTCTGAAAAAAAAATTCGCTATGTCTTTAAAAATGTAAACAAATGTTTGATAAATTTTACTTTGTATTTTTTTTTTAACAATATATTTATTATACATAGGTACATTAGGATATAGCGATATCGGCTTTTGTATTAATACCACGTGGGCATTCTTGCACTTTTCAAATTTGTATCCCAATTGCTCAGTAATAATTTTCCTTTATGTTTCCTTTTCAGGATTATGTTTCTCCCTTCACCTTTCCTTTCATTTTTGTTGCCCACAACATTTCTCGAAGTAAAAAAAAATGAACGTTAAGCGTTCAGTAACAACAGTTCAAGAAAAACTTAACAAAAATAGTCCATTTATGTAACTAAGCTTCAACAAAAAACCTAACAAGAACAATTAAAAAATTTAAAATTCAACGGATAGGGAGACGAATACTCGTATGACGCGTCTCAGCGACAAAGATGCTAACCGTACTGACGCGACAGGGCGATCGCGGGAAGGTGAGCGGGGAAGCGGGCGGAGCGCCGCATTCCAGCGAGGTGCAAACTTAGCTCGGTCGAGTTGTACATAAGAAATAGACAATATAAACGCACTTGTTAACAAAACGCTAGTAAATACGGCCATTGTCATCTGACTGACAAAACCGGCGCATGCGCAATGTAGGCGTGAGGTGATGGTTTGCTTATTAGATATAAAATAATTAATAATTGGGAATTTAATTGTTTTTATGATCGAACAATCACCAATAGTCGTCGAACAAACGATAATTGATCAAAATTAATTAATCTGAGCGATAAAAATAAAGATATCTAGTAAGAGAGGCCAACTTAAGGGTGACCATTTGTTTAATTAATATTTAAATAAATAAAAGTCGAACAAACAATTTTTACGACGAACAAATAATTCAAAATAAAGAAAATCCGAAAATCAAAAAAGGGAGGCCAAATTCAGTGAGCCGGTACCTATCATTGTCATAGTTTTATCATAGATTCTATAACTTAATCTGGGAATGGACTTTTTGGCGGAAACGCGAGGAGTGAAGTTGTGTGATTTGTTTTATTTCGTCTATTTAGTGTTTCTTGGGGTTTAAATGTGTAATAATGGTGGTGTATTAACTGTTTAATATCTGTGAAAGTGCACAAATGTGGGAAAATGAAACAAAGCCGCTGGACGTAACTTCTCGGGATCCTCCAAAAAGTCCACTGAAAAATCTTAGTAAATGACCACCATTTTACTGAGATTATATTTCATCCCATATCATCTCATTTCATATCATTTAATTTCATCCCAGTTGATTAATGTCTCAAATTAATCATCTTCATTTCATTTCACTCCATAATATCATTTTTCATAAAAATATTAATTTAAATTAAAATAAGATATGACTTAAAGGTCTCAGTTACCAGGTCATAAAATCCTTTAAAAAAATCTGGAAATTTTTGGCGGGAACGCGAGGAGTGAAGCGGTGAGAATTATTTTAATTAATATAGGGTTTCGTGGGGCTTGAATGTGTAATAACGCTAGTTTTTAAACTATCCAGCATCTGTGAAAGTCCAAAATGTGGGAAAATGGAATAAAGTCCAGCGGACACCTTCTCGGGTCCTCCAAGGAGTCCACTGAAAAAGGCTCCGTAAATGACTACCATTTTACTGAGACTTTATTTTATGCTATTTGATCTCGTATCTTTTATTTTCATCAATAGCAAAGTTGCAAAAGTCGCAAATTAATCAACTTCATTTCATTTCGCTCCAAATATATTTTTTAAGCCTTAACAGACTCGGCTTAAAAGTCTCATTATCAAGCCATAAAAACTTCAAATAGGTAAATAAAAATGCTGATTTTAAAAGCTGGAGATGCTAGTACATACATACGCTTGACAAATTTTCTAATTTCCATTAAATCGAATATTATTACAGTCGCTCATTTTTTCTTAAAGTATAAGAAATTAAATACGTCGATAATTAGAAGCTCTCTTCTCTGTCCATATTATGAAAAAATATCCATAGTTTAATTTAAATAATGGTTCAATGAAAATCTGTGTAAGTGCCATTAGTTAAATTGTCTCCCAAAAATGTCTTGCAATTATGCAGAAGGACTATCACCTTATGAAAACAAAGGTATACTAGGAGTCCCAGAGGTAAACATTGTATATTGTACATCAAACAATTATTAACAATTACAGACTAAATAAGAAACATTTTATAAATATTTTTTTTATTCGTTTCAGAAATTTGATTCAAATGACAAACTGAACCAGAAATGTGTACTCTTGGCTCAACTTGTGAAAGATAGTAAACATATTGTTGTCCACACTGGAGCTGGCATAAGTACTTCTGCGGGTATTCCAGACTTTAGGTGAAATAAACAAATGTCAATAAGTTAAATTGCTCAACAAAGAAGACCATTAAACCTTCAACAGTGCAGTAACCGGATTCCGGAGGGACCAATTTTTTTTTTTTTTTATTATTTATTTGCGTACCCCAGATTACATACTCATAAATTAAAATGCGCTATATCCTTACATGTAGATATATCTCTAGCAATAGCAATATAAATAATAAAAATATAATTTGTATAATAACAAATGTATGCAACTTTTTTAGGAGGTAGTTTAAGTTAACAGATAGTAAGATCTAAGATCTCATGAAAACAATACTCCTTTGCTGCAGAACTGTAGGATAAAAACAGTCCCAGTATATTGCTAGAGATCAATTGTGCAATTGTGATTTTTGGGACAGAAAGAAGTCATTCCAGTTAGTTAGTTGCCAATGTTTGTAATATTTTTATTAAATCACTTTATAAAATACATATGATAGGAAAAAAATGAGTTGAAATGCTATTTAACATTAAACTTAGAATTTCGTTTACAGAGGGCCAAATGGAGTGTGGACTTTAGAGAAGGAAGGTAAAAAGCCAACCATCAATGTATCATTTGCTGATGCACAACCCACAAAAACCCATATGATTTTAAAAAAGTTGGTTGAAATAAAAAAACTTAAATACATTGTGAGTCAAAACATTGACGGACTTCATCTCAAGTCTGGTGTCCCAAGAAAATTCTTAGCTGAACTACATGGAAATATGTTTATTGATGAATGTAACATCTGCAAGAGGTAATTTTTCTATAGCATAGTGAATGAGGCCATCTGGCTTTAGGTGGTTATGGAAACCCATAGATATCATAACTTGAGTGCCTCCATCCACTAAAATATAAAATCTTAGTTTTCATTATAGTATAAAACAATGTCGCTTTCTCTATCCCAGATAATGCTTAAGTCTTTAAAACTACACAACGGATTTTGATGCAGTTTTTTTTAATAGATAGAGTGATTGAAGAGGAAGGTTTATATGTATAATAACATCCATCAAATAGTGGAGCAATCAATAACAAATTACAGTTTCTGAAGCGAAGCGAGGGCGGGTCGCTAGTATTATTATAATATAAAATAATGGTTGTCCCACCCTTCGAACTGGAATACATTACAGCTTCATGGCAGAAGTACACAGGGGGGTGGTACATCTGCAGGCTCAGACTATCAGTAATTATGAAAATTAAAATGTTTGCAGATTTGGTTTTTATTACAATAAGTAATTCTTTCCAGGTGAAAGTTGATTACATGTTTAGTATAAGTACGCCAGTAATCTTATCATTGGCCATAACTTATCATTATTTTTATTCTTATTTATTTTACATTTAACATACATTATTTTATTGAAATGCAACCCTTTAAAATCAAATTAATCAATTCAATAGATTTGATTGAGAATATGCAAATCATGAAATAAATGATGCTCATGTTTGAAATAATTTGAGACAATTTGTCATCTCTGCATTTCAGACAGTTTGTCCGTAGCAGTCCTGTCGAAACTGTTGGCAAGAAATGCAGTGGTGTGCCTTGTGCAGCTCACCATGTGACGGGTAGACCTTGCCGTGGTAGATTATATGACGGAGTGCTTGACTGGGAGCATAGCTTGCCTGAAAATGATTTGTTAATGGCGGAATGGCATTCAAGGTAATTAAAAACAAATGATATCATTTAATTACTACTCCACAACTACATTTAACACTGCTATTTACTTAGTATCATTTCATGTCTCTTTAGTACAAGGAATTCTAGATTGGGGCCAGTTTTTTATATGTGCTATTTTTTCAATTAATCACTTATTTAATGGCATGCTTTTATTGCCCTTTCATAAACTACTGGTGGTACTTTTATTGGTGGTAGGACCTCTTGTGAGTCCATACGGGTAGGTACCACCACCCTGCCTATTTCTGCTGTGAAGCAGTAATGCGTTTCGGTTTGAAGGGCGGGGCAGCCGTTAACTATATTGAAACTTATTATATCTCAAGGTAGGTGGCGCATTTACGTTGTAGATGTCTATTGTCTCCACTAACCACTTAACACCAGGTGGGCTGTGAGCTCATCCACCCATCTAAACAATAAAACACATAAAAAAAACTAATAAGGAACTTATCTACTTAAGACATGCAAAATCTCCATACGCTTGAAGGAAGCTACATGTGATGCTAAGGCTGGCTGGTACTTTGCACAGAGAGTAAGTCTGGCTGTCCAACGAGGTATCATAGCCAGTATCTTGGGAACTGTGCCTCCTTTAAACGCATTAGAAGATTTATTCAACTGTATGAATTGATATATGTTAATAAAATAAAACTGAAATTCTTAATTCGTGTGACAAGTAAAAAAAAAAACATTCAAATGAATAAAAATAAAACAGAAAACAAATAAAAACAAAAATTGTTTAAAATTTTAAGCTTCCATTTTTAATAAGCTGATGCTGAATTATTATTATTTATTATAATTGCTTAATTAGATGTGTTTTTTTTAGAATAGTAAATTGTTATGTTTTATGCAATTGTAATGTTTATCTTTTGTTTCAGTATTGCAGACTTGAGCATATGTCTAGGTACAACACTTCAAATAGTACCAAGTGGTAATTTACCACTAGAGACTATTAAATATGGTGGAAAGTTAGTTATTTGCAACCTACAACCAACAAAACATGTAAGTAATTTTTTCTGAGTGTAGGATGAGCAGTGAGCATTTACTTTGTAGTCTATGGGTTCTGACAATGACTTAATATCAGGCAAGCTATGATGTCATCAGCTCATAAAAAGAAAACAAATAAATTCGCTTTCTTTTTCAGGACAATAAAGCTGATCTCCTAATAAATTATTATGTAGATGATGTACTTGAGAAAGTAATGGACATCTTAGGAATTGAAATCCCCAGTTATAATGAATCTGAGAACCCCATGAAATTTGCAGAAACAGCTATTATTGACTGGTCAATAGACAGAAAAGATGTCTTAGCTTTAGAAAAGACATTCAAATCAAAATGCAAAGGAGTTAAAAAGAAACGAATATTAATAAAAACAAAAAGATTTACCAGTAATGCCAATGATATTGAAAAATCAAAAATGATCAAATTGGAAGTTAAGGAAGAGAATGAAACTAAAGACTGGCCATTGAAACCTTCGGATCAAGAATTTATAATTGATCAAAAGGGTTCTATTGTGTCTTGATAAAATTATAATAACTGTGAAACTGGTGGTGATTAATTGGTGAAATTTGGTTCCATTTTATTGTGATTGGCTGAATACAAGAAAAACTTTTAACACACCAATGCCACATTTTGTATATTGATGGTGCTTCACTATGAGAAATAGCTGAAACGCCAAAAATAATTGTGACAAGTTTCATCATAATTCTATGAATGTTTTACTATCGAATAGAGGAAAAATATAAAAAACATTCATTATAAACGTATTTCATAAACATAATTGCTTTTATTTACAACTCTTTGGTAAATAATCTACATGGAATGTCAAAAATATTATTCCAAAAATATTAAAAATGATTGTATAAAAATACAAAAGTACAAATTTTAAATAGTATTATTACGTTGCTAGCCGAACATCCAATTTATTTGAAACACTAACAATGTGACTAGAGGAAGTATTAGGTTGTCGACCTGATCCGTTTTCGCTTCGACCACACTGGATATTGATGCAGCTAACATCGTTCTAATTAACACAGTGTTGTTTCTTAGAAGACCTAAAATAATAATTAGTTTTAATAATAATAACTCGACAAAACTGTAATAAAAAGGGTGAAATGTACTTAATCAATTCTATGAAGGGTAGAGAACTAAATGTCATAAGTGTCTGTAATTTACAATAGCCCATAGATATGTATCACAAAGTGAATAAAATTACACTCCTATGGCATAATTTAAAAGTGAAGCTATGTTTTTTTTTTGAAAATATTTTTGCCTGCAGTCCTCCAGCTTTTGTAGTAAATTTAATTAGCCCGCAAAGGCATGTAGTTTGGACAGCCCAGACCCTTGTTATAAATAATAATCGGAATAATAATTAAAAAATTGCGCAATTTACACAATAGATACAGTTTTAGGAATGTTTTTTTTTTTAAATCGAATGCATCGAGACACTATTTTTAAATTATTTGTACGGATTAATATTAGTAATAATCTAGGAAATATTTTACCCTCACCAAATAAATGCAAAACATAAACCGTTGCAACTTGTGACAAGACATTAGCAATTGTTCCCTCCACTGTTTTTTCACTATCTGAAAATGAGAATTATATTGTATCATTTTATGCAGCTAGACATCCGAAAAAGGCTCTCTTCCATCTGCCGAGAACGTGTTATGAGCTTCTTCGGACACATGCGGTCTCCCAGACGTGAATTAGAGAAGCTCATAATTACGGGTCGCATAGAGGGCAAGCGCGCCGTGGGCAGAACACCAGCCAGATGGTCAGATCTAGCAAGAGAAGCACTCGGTGGTAGTCTATACCATGCAGTCCATGCCACCCATGATCGGGCACATTGGAAGTACGTCGCATGTGGTCGCGATCCCCAGTAGTGAGGGAACGATATAGAAGAAGTAAGTCATTTTATGTTATTTGAGTAAACTATCTGGTATGAAAGATCAAAGTTTTAAGACAGAGCGAAGATGGACGCACTGGGAGGAATGAAAATAAAGAATCACTAAGATAACTCACTAGTCCACTTCTTCGTGCCGTATTTGGAACCGAACCAACTGGCGGCTGTATCTCCTACTCCAGTTGCGAGGACTCCGCTGAGCAGCTCAAGAGTTGTTCCTTCATAACTAGGCACCAGTATCAATGGACATGCTAAGCCTACATACAAGTAGATCGGTGTCATCGCGAAACTTCCTATGTCCTGAACAAAAAACAATTTGTTCGTTTATTGACAATATGCAGTCACATCATGAAAAAGTTAAAATATTATATACCTTCTCATCACTATAGACATCAAAAGCTGATTGCAGGGCTTCTGATATGGGTGTGATGTTTAACTTGCGTAAAGCCTGTCGAAAAGAATAATAATTTGAAAACCTGCATACACCTCGAACACACATATCCTGTTTTCTAACATGAATAAAATATAATTATTAGTAACGAAACGAATTTATTCTCTTACCTCGACTAAAATCAAAAATCCCAATCCAATTCCAGCAGCCAAGCTCGTCAGATAAACATCATAAATAATACCTGACATAAAAACAAGCGAAGCCAACAAATGAAATGATTTTCTGGTCACAGTATTCACCTTTACAGCACTTTTGGTTCGCGTAAGTACCAAAAATATAGATATCATAAGTAGAAATAACCAGAACGCAAATAGTTGAACCTGCAAGAAAACAAGTATTTATAGGTATAATAATAATAATAAGCCTTTATTGCTGTTTTACTAACTTAATACATTACTTAATAATAAATTAAATTTAAGTGCAACTTATAATCAATTATTCCGTTCGGCGTTCGGTGGTTTTAAATACAGCTTGTCTCTCGACAAAGGCCTCCTCTAGAGATTGCCAATATTCTCGATTTTTGGCCATTCGACTCCAATGCGGGCCGGCTACACTTTTTATTTCATCTTCCCAACGTTTTGGCTGTCTTCCTTTTTTTCTACAGCCATCCCGCATACATTTATAGGTATACAGTGGTTTAAATTAAAATTAAATTCGTTCTTTTAAGTTTCAAAAAAAATGTATGTTTAATCTAAGTGATTCACAGTAAAAGTTATTTCACTTACTCTGTTTCGGTTCAGAAAAATATAGTTCAGTATCCGGAATACACAATTTAATCCTAGTAGTACATGTAAGGTGACTAAAGCAAACAAAGCAGCCACTGCAAACATATAACTAAATGTTTGTATGTTTCTTTGTTTTTCCGATATGACACATAAACCTGTAATAAGTAGTCCAACCGTTGATAATGCTGTCTGAAAATAATGACCTAAGTTTAGTATCACAAGACATACTACATATTCGTTTTGTGCATGTGGATTTTATTAATACACTAACTTTTCACCTGCAGCTAAGTGAACTATGTTTTAAGTAGGAAGCCTATATTGCTATCTAGGATTGATTCAATTTCACCAAAATCAGCCTACTATACTGAGCATGAAAACTTATCAGCCAGAATAATCTTCATTAAATAAAAAACATATAAAAGTATTATAAATTCCAAACATTTTTAAATGATTGTAATTTTTTCCAATGTCTGTTTATAATGAAATAAATCCTGTATTCTCTGTTTACCTGTGAAAAATACATGAAAATCCATTCAGTAGCTAAAAATGATGTGTGAAAAAACAGATAGATTTGTATGGCCAGATCGAGTTTTTAAATTTGCTGATTTATAATCTATTACTCCTCTTTAGTTATCCTCTTTCTATTTTTATTAATTTCCTTCAAGGTTCAGACACACCATTTACTGTTCGCACATAGGAACTACTGTTATATGTATTTATTGATTACTTTTTATTTCAAATAAAAATAGCTTACAAGCACAATGCTGCTTATTAAATTCATGTCTTCGTTAGAATCATGTAATATATTCATGATCCTTCCAATAACTGCGATGGTGAATAAAGTCAAACCCTGTGTTACAATCATGGCTTCTCCTATAGTGTATGTCTTTGGGAATTTGGTGAGAGACCATCTTAGCATTGTACTATATAAGTACACTGCTGTGAGGGAGAAAAACAATGATGTTGTTAAACCTGAAACAGTAATAACAATAAAATGTAAAAGTATTTAATTGATTGTCTAAAGATTGAAACTCTTGAAATGAATTTTGAATTGAGAATGATTACTACTTTTAGGTAGATTATTTTTTATAATTCTGTTGTTATTTAAGTATACTTGGAACAAATTACACACAAGTGTAAATTTTATTTATAGCGTGCAGTAGTAATGAAAATAGTACCTTGTGTATTAAATATAAAATTCATCAGAGCAGATACAAGACTAGATGCTATACATCCTCCATAGATAGGCTCTCTGAGTACCAGACATGATACAGAAATGAATACCACAAACAGTATGCTGTAGCAGAATAAACCAACAGCTACGTAAGCTACTAGTGTATAAAGTGGCGACACTTTGTACAACAAATTGTATGAGATTAATAATGCGGGCAGTAAAGCACAACACCATAACCCGTTGCTTGAGATAGGCCTGAAAATATTTAAAACAATACTGGTTATTTTTTTAATAAATAAATAAAAGGAGTTATTGTTCCCTTATAAATTCACGAAGAATTCAAGAGAAGAAGAGAATCAGGAGAATCTTATTGATAAGAAATCGAAAACGTTGTGATGGGAATTTAATAAAGTCTGTTGACGAGTAATAGCGCATACCTCGTTCCTATACCTCCATCTCTTAGATTTCTTGAAATTGTATAATCAACCGACATGCACAGTGAAGTGTACCGTTTAAAACTATTATAAAAGTGTAGAACTTTCGAATTACTCTGCATTCTCTTTTGACTGCAAATTTTAACAGTGTTTACCACAAGGCCAAATCAGCTGAAGTGTGAGTTATTTTTTTTTTGTGCTTTACGGCCTGATAACGAGACCTTTAAGCCAAGTTGTTTATTATGATATATTTTAAAATACGGGTATGAACCAAAATAAGATAAAGTTCATTAATTTGAGATCAATTGGGATGAACTTAAATGAAATGAAACTATATACCATGAAAAAAAAGTCTCGCTAAATTGTGGTTATTTATCAAGACTTTGTCCTTAAACCACTGTTTTTATACTTTTAAGCCCGAAGAAACTTTAAATTCGCTCCTCGAGCTCCCGTCAAAACTCCTGTAGTGTGAGAATATCTACAACATAACACAATAAAGATCAGATTCTCTTTACTAATTTGGACAATAACAGTTTGAGTCAACCATATAACAAACAAAGGTAATGTAGACTGTAAAGCTAAATCTTATGTAACAAATGGCGGAATTTGGTTTCAGATTATTGAAATGCAATTAAGCGATAAGACAACACCGCATGTGTTGCATGAGATATAATGGTATAAGTTCTAAATTTAAATGAGATCATTTACAAAGGGCATTGAGTCTTTTTGGAAACAAGTTTGTTTTATTTTCCGACTGGTGGTAGGACCTCTTGTGAGTCCGCACGGGTAGGCACACCACCCAGCCTATTTTTACCATGAAGCAGTAATGCTAAAATAAAGTTTTATTGAATTAAAATCTCTGTTAACATCTCTTTCTGTACGGAAAATTTAATAGAGATGATATAGAAAGTTATACACATTTGATGATTTGTTGGAATTTAAAGGACTTTAAATGAACACTTTGGAGGAAAGTCACATGAGGTCGCGATGCTCAGCAGTGAGGGAATGATGAAGAAGAAGTATAAGCCCAAAGTTGTAAGTGTTGTTCGGCTGGTGATAATGGTGATGATGATAATCGTGGAGCGAGAAAAGATCGAGCTACCAATATACGTAAAAGAATTACACAACATAATTTTTAGGTATTGCTTATTAGAATGACTTAAAGGTTCCGTTACCAGGCCATTAAAACTTTAAAAATGTAACTTCTAAAGTTCAAGACAACACGTTATGTCACATTATTTGAGAGTTCAACAACATAGAAAATACACCTAAACCATAGACCTATATAGTAGGGACACGACATATTGTTCTATACGTACAATTGCTTATATAAATAGCACCCATTTTGAAGGCACATACATAAACATATATCTATCTCGTTCTCACTCAGCACTTTAACTCGCAGGAAAACAATATAACAGTATTTCAATGCGTACATAAAATGAAACATGAATATACGTAAATGTCTCCGTCTCCGTCTAATGAGGCCGAAAATCCGCCATGTTTAGCGCACCAAATGTCATTGTCACGTCAGTTCGGCCGTCTGTTTTGGGTTGTACATTATTTATTGACTTTGATATCGATTTAATATGATTGCTTATATAAAATTTCTTATTTTATCATGCTTAAAACATACAAAAATAATAATTAAAACATATTTTATAGGATCTCAAGAAAGTCGTCGGAACTATTTAAATAAAATAGTTTTATAACACTATTGTCAACTCGTTAAATATTTAATAATTAAGTGATTTTAGAGAGGAAGTCACAAGGAATGACGTTTGTAATTTTATTAACGAATAAATGTTCTGTAGGTGTTTTTTTTTTATCAGGCGGTCCCTTGATAAGTTTAAAATTTGAATCACTCTCAAGCGAAAGTGATTCAAATGGTGCGGCGCACCTTCCTTGGGGTGCGCTGCGGTAGTATGTTACGGACTTTAGAGTCAGCAAAACAATTAAAATAGATTGTAATAGTCTAAGAAAAACACGTACTCAAAATACGATAACATTCAGCATGCTAGAAATGGGCAGATGGCACTGTACTACGCCATATCTTTATGTTTTGCGGCAAACGACAACTTTATAAAATCAGTGTAGCAAATTTTAAAAATCGTCATATCGTTTACTTGGCAAATTTGAAGCACGAACTCGTCTTAGATTTCACATAATATCTAAATCACATCATCTTTGCACATAACAATATACTTACTTCCTATTAAAGTATAAATTCTACAAATACATTTATACTCAACAATATTTAAAATAAAATGAGCCAAGAACGTTTATCGATAAAACCTACTAACATTAAAATCTTCTGGGCAGCACTAAAACCGCCATGTTTTGTGGCCAGATGACGTCACAGTGGCACGAATTTTTTGTTGACGTTTCATTTCCATAGGTTTCCTACTTCAGTGACCTAAACAAACTTGTGCCGGTAACTGTAAGAGATTATTTTGTCTGTGTACTTAGGAACATATAAATATATTAAAAATGTTGCGGAGCGTCTGCAAATTGGTTCAGGCGCAAAAAGCGAATTTTGCAACAGCTGCTTCAGCGGCACCGGCTCCCCAAACAAAACCGGAAATTTTATACACCGGTGTAAGTAAACATTTGTTATTGATTTGAAGAAAGTAGTATGTAATATTTCTCTTTATGGATGCTCTTTACAGTATTTATTAATTAAAATAAAATATATTGTTACGTTTTCTTCGATAAATACGTGTCTTGAATATTATTTTATCTCGGTGCCTTTTCGATATATTTTTCAAGGTCAGCTATTTTTAATACAACTGAGACACGTTTATTTTAACTTTTGCGTGTATTTTTCTAATCGATATAAATAAAATTAATAAAAAAAAATGTAGGCGTTGATCTTTCTTTTAATGAAAGTTGAAAAAAGGAACATAAATTTTAGGAAAACTTCAGAGGCCATTGAGATTAATATACTTAATTTAAAAAAGTTTTTTTGTTTTGTTTTTGTTTTTTTCTTATTTACTATACAAAAAAAATCTAAATTAATTAAATACAATATGAAATGTTAAACTTATTCTAAAACATAGAAACAAAATAAAATTAGTTTTTGGAAATCTTATTCCATAATTCCATTTACTTATTAATTAAATATTACACTACACAGAAAGGAAGAACCAGAATAATTTTTTGAAACAATCTTTCGAAATGACTTTTTAAACAAAGTTCGAAAAGAGTCCTCAGTTGTGGGCAGCATTTTGTTCCCCTGGAAATTCAGTAACTTCCATGAGGGACCTCTCACCTCACCATCAGTCTAGGTGTAAATAATATCAATACCAATTGTCTATCAGCTCTTCATAAACAATGAGTGGGTGAAGTCTTCTGATGGGAAGACCTTCAAAACTGAAAACCCTGCCAATGGCCAAGTTATAGCTGAGGTCCAACATGCCAACAAAGCAGATGTGGACAAAGCTGTGAAGGCAGCTAGAGATGCGTTCAAGTAAGGATTATTATTATTTTTTATTGCTTAGATGGGTGGTCGAGCTCACAGCCCACCTGGTGCTAAGTGGTTACTGGAGCCCTTAGACATCTACAACGTAAATGCGCCACCCACCTTGAGATATAAGCTCTAAGGTCTCAAGTATAGTTACAGCGGCTGCCCCACCCTTCAAACTGTAACACATTACTGCTTCACGACAGAAATAGGCAGGGCGATGGTACCTACCTGCGCGGACACACAAGAGGTCCTACCACCAGTAATTAATTTACAGTATTCAATTTCTGTAGCAAGAAGAGGTGGCTATAGTATTTATTTGCATAGGAGACAAGCTTCCTCAAATGTCGTCTTCTTGCATTAAAACTGGATAATCTCAAAACTTACTAATTTTACAGGAGAGTGTTTTAATAAAGGTTTAACATGTGATATTTTTTATATTAATCATCTTTGCAACATTTATTTTTTATTTTTTACCAGATACATTGTCTCTTAAAGTAAGATAAAATTATGTATTAATTTTGTTAATAGTAGTCAAAATATAGGTAAACTAAAAAAAGAACAAAAGTAAACTACGCTCTTTTGACAGTATTTATGAGAAAAATACTGGTGATACCAAATGACTCCTCATATTAACTCAATTTCGAATATGTTTAGAAATTGTACACTTTTATTGCGAAAAGACGACGTGTCTAGAGTCCCTAAACACCCATAAAGTTAATAGCATGGAATGTATAATTCGAGATAATAACATTTACATAGTAATAACAGATCCTTAAAATTGGGTCACATAATTTCTTAGCTTCAGAAGAAGTTAATCATGTTGCCCATTGTGACATCACATAAAACCCCCAGGAGTATTGTAATATGGATTAATAGCCACCAGTCTGAATTCATATCATAACTAGATATAATCTGTAAAATTAAATTGTTACCAACGATCTGCTGGGATTTTAGCTCCAGGAAAATATGTGTATTGCTTTTTTGATTATTTGACACATGACATATTATATATCTCATAGTTGTTTTTTTTTTAATCTTGAAGTAAGGTTCAGCCCTCAAATTGCCGAAGCATAAAACAGGTGTACGTGTCAATAGGTCTGAGTTTTTTTTTATAGCTTAGATGGGTGGACGAGCTCACAGCCCACCTGGTGTTAAGTGGTTACTGGAGCTCATAGACATCTACAACGTACCTTCAAACCGAAACGCATTACTGCTTCAAAGCAGGGTGGTGGTACCTACCCGCGCGGACTCTCAAGAGGTCCTACCACCAATAAGTGTAAGTGAGTTAGTTCTGGTCAACAAGTATTTTTTCTCTCGCGCCTCAAATTACATTTTTTATCAAAACCAACCTGAACGATACATTTGAAAATAAACCGAATCAATTGCTGAGTGATTTAAGTGAATTTCTATTATTAGACTTGGATCACCATGGAGAACAATGGACGCCTCCGAGAGGGGGGCCCTTATCAACAAACTAGCAGATTTGATTGAAAGAGACAGAACCTATTTAGCTGTAAGTATGCTTCAAAATATACTATATTGTATTACTAGCGACCCGCCCTCGATTCGCTTCGGAAACTGTAATTTTTTTATTGATTTCTCCACTATTTAAGGGATGTTATTATACATATAAACCTTCCTCATTAATCACTCTATCTATAAAAAAAAAACCGCATCAAAATCTATTGCGTAGTTTTAAAGATTTAAGCATACATAGGGACAGAGAAATCGACTTTGTTTTATACTTTTTTTTTTTTTTTTATTGCTTAGATGGGTGGACGAGCTCACAGCCCACTTGGTGTTAAGTGGTTACTGGAGCCCATAGACATCCACAACATAAATGCGCCACCCACCTTGAGATACAAGTTCTAAGGTCTCAAGTATAGTTACAACGGCTGCCCCACCCTTCAAACCGAAACGCATTACTGCTTCACGGCAGAAATAGGCAGGGCGGTGGTACCCACCCGCGCGGACTCACAAGAAGTCCTACCACCATTAATTACGCAAATTATAATTTTGCGGGTTTCATTTTTATTACACGATGTTATGTATGTAGTGAAGTAGCTTAAACATTCTAATTTTGGGTTTTCCCGAGTCGCGATTATTTTTAGACGTTTTTTTTGAATTCTTTACACTTTTCATGGTCACAGAATACTATTTAACCATAAAAGACAACAGTTAGCACAACATTCAAATGTCGACTAATAAATAACTCAGTCGTTAAAAAAATAATGTATGTCGAATAGCTAATTCGTGAATTAAAATTGTGGACAGCTTTATCGCCACATTAATAATACGTTAAGTACAAGCTGGTCGGGCAACGGTATGAATTTGATTTGCTTTTAGTTTTATCAGTCGCATTCGCTACGTGAAATGCACTTATCACGTAATTTAAATGACGCTTATCTTGCTTCGACGATGACTATAGAATAAAGTATTTTTTTGTATCTCAGGAATGTGGACAGGATAGGATCATAATAACAAATTACATTATTATTTTTGCAACGTTTCGGTCTTTTATTAGACCTTCATCAGGCATCTGAAAATTACACATATTGATAACCAACTATATAAAAACAACAATTGTCAACACTACAATATTTACCATAATATGAATTTCAACAATCACTATCCTACACTGCACAGTTGCCTTAGACATCATAAATTAATACAAATCAACAACATTTATCGGTTTTGTTGATTTGTATTAATTTATGATGTCTGAAAAATAATATGAAAAATAATAATCTGTATGAAAAATAATAATGTAATTTGTTATTATGATCCTATCTTGTCCACATTCCTGAGATACAAAAAAATATTTTATATTAACTATGGACGATAATATTGATAACAATAGAATAAAGTTTTATCGATGTTATACGTAAATACGCCCAATATACAAAGTGACATGTCAAAACGTAAACCACATGATTTTTTTTCTTACCCACACGCCGGAACACAGCTAGGCTATTTAGCGGCGGACTCTTGTTGGAAAATGGTCACCAAACAGTCGGACAAGGTCCTATCACCGTTACAAAACCATATACCATGCCATATTTTGCGGTAGGCAGCGGCTTGGCTCTGCCCCTGGCATTGCTGAAGTCCATGAGCGACGGTAACCACTCACCATCAGGTGGGCCGTATGCTCGTCTGCCTACAAGGGCAATAAAAAAATATATATATACATATATCTGAANGTTGGAAAATGGTCACCAAACAGTCGGACAAGGTCCTATCACCGTTACAAAACCATATACCATGCCATATTTTGCGGTAGGCAGCGGCTTGGCTCTGCCCCTGGCATTGCTGAAGTCCATGAGCGACGGTAACCACTCACCATCAGGTGGGCCGTATGCTCGTCTGCCTACAAGGGCAATAAAAAAATATATATATACATATATCTGAAAAATCAATATGCTTGTTCTCTGATACAAGGGTATTTAGGGTATTTAGTAAATCGCATAATAATTAAAAGGAAAAACTTACAATACGTATCGACAAAAATCAACCAAGCAATAAAACAAATACAATAATCCCCCTTATAACACGGTAATCTTATAACGCATTTTCATATTACGAGATTTCAATCCCTCGTATAACACGGCTATTCCCCCATACAGCGCGGAGATCTGACACAATTCCTGTTCATAATTAAATTCGCGTTCACCTTTAATCAATTTATTATTTTGTGTTCCTAGTTTTTGAATTGTAAAGATATTGGTTATATTATGTTATATTTGTATATATATTATATTTGTACATAACGCGTTAATATAGGATCATACAAGCGTGTTATACGAGAATACTCCTACAGCGCGTTTCCTATAACGCGGAACCAATCTACCGTGTTATAGGGCAGATCACTGTACACTTTTGATGTATATGTAGGTACCGTCGATATGTATGAGTCAGACACCAAAGGTATTTTTTTATTGCGTTTGTTAGCAGATAAGCATACTTGATATCAATATATTCACGAACAACTTCTACAAGTTTTGAGCCACACTCCCTCCCCCCATTTCTTCCGCATACGAACCGGTTTAAAACAAATATCAAATAAACGTGAAGCAATTTTCAGTTTGTAAAGTCTGTGACTTCCAATAATCATTCAAAACGCGGTATCGTTATTATTCCAAGTCCTTATGTAAAATGCCAGTTGAAAGTGTACCTACAAGTTTCATTTCATCTTTTCTTTTTATTGCTTAGATGGCTGGACGAGCTCACAGCTCACCAGGTGTTAAGTGGTTACTGGAGCCCATAGACATCTATAACGTAAATGCGCCACCCACCTTGAGACATAAAGCTCTAAGGTCTCAGGTATAGTTACAACGGCTGCCCCACCCTTCATTCCGAAACGCATTACTGCTTCACGGTAGAAATAGGCAGGGTGGTGTTACCTACCCGCGCGAACTCTTAAGAGGTCCTACCACCAGTAAACGGTAACAGTCATCTTAACGGTAAGCAGTGGCTTGGCTGTGCCCCTGGAATTGCTGACGTCTATGGGTGACGGTAACCACTCACCATCAGGTGGGCCATATGTTCGCTTGCTTACACGGGCTATAAAAAAAGGTGCATGCATTGTAACAATAAATAAATAAACCAAGCAACTTGGTATGGTTTTCAACATACCTACTTGCCCAATAGTCACGACTCGTTGACCTTACATTAACAAAGTTGATTTATCGTAAAATATTATCTCACTTATAAATAATAATATATCGGTCGATCTAATTTCCACTATGCGCCTTCTTAAAATCGGTTATAATGAATTTACGAAAATTATTTGAAAAAAAAAACATAAGTATCAGATCGAATTAGTAAAACTAAGACTAAATATGGAAGATCAAGACCGATCTTCCTGATATGTGACTAGAGCCTGTGGATACCCAAGATTGTCCTAGTCTCTTTGTTTGTTCTTGCTTTGCTTATCATTGTTTCCAAGACGTGCAAGTGTTTGCATTACCTAGCGCGGTTAGTACGTTGTAATTTTTTTTTTTTCAATACAACCTTGATATAATACGGATCGAGGGACTGCTAATTAACAGCCGTTGCGGCATTTGGGCTATTCCAATTATAGTTTTTTTTAAATTTTTTTTGAAACTATACTCAACTTATTTTATATAGTCACATAATAGTGTGTTAGGTATTTAAGTTACTAACTTAAGTTATAAGTAAAAATTACTAACAAAATGTTTTGGTTTCTTTACTGAAAGAAAGATTTAATAAATAATTCCAAAGCCGGATGGTACGTGGAAAAAAATATCTCTGGAAACGCACCAGTATGGAAAATAAAAGTCATCATTTTTTATGAGCTGCAAAAATAATTAGCAATTCAAATGTCGCATATGGAAAATCGAATGAACAATAATACGACCTTGCCGCTTCGTATGTGTACGATAATTTAACCTTCAGATAGTAAATAAATCACCTTAGTGCCTTAATTTAGCGCTTAAATATTAACAACGTCAATAAAGAATTCATTCAATTTGAACTATATATTGTTATTTATTTTTTCTTTGTCTTCAAAAGATCATTAAACCTGTCTTGCTGTATAGATCTGAATGTTGGGCGACGAAAGTAAAGCATGAAATAGGCGTACATGCGGCAGAGATGCGAATGTTGAGATGGATGTGTTTAGTGACAAGAATGGACAATATAAGGGATGAGTATATCAGAGGAAGTGTGAAAGTAGCCCCGGTGATTGACAAATTAAAGAGCGAACGGTTAGCGTGGTATGTACATGTGATGCGTAGAGAGAAGATGCATGTGACTAGGACATTTATGGGAATGGTAGTGCAAGAAGACATTGATGGAGTGTGTGAATTACGATATGAGAGAAAGAGGAGTGATTGTTGAGATGATGGCTGATAGAAGAGAATGGAATAGAAAAATTCGCTGTGCCGACCCCACCTAGCGGGATAAGGTGGAGACAAAGAGAAGATTTTTCTTTTGAAAGAACAGATGGCCGTGTTTATAGTCATAGTCAGAAAACTAGCTAAATCGAATCTGGTCAAATTAAAATATAGGATAAAAAAAGACTATCAATTGTGTTTCTTTTTTAAGAGCCTGGAGACGCTGGACAACGGCAAACCATACAAGGACTCGTATTTCGGTGATCTGTATGCTTCAATAAAAAACCTACGGTACTACGCCGGGTGGGCCGACAAGATCCACGGGAATGTTCTGCCCGCCGACGGAAAATACTTTGCTTACACTCGTCACGAGCCAGTGGGTGAGTTAGATTCAGTTCTATACAGTATGAAACCACGTTAAATTTAAATTTGACCCCAGATTCATATAATTAAACTATTTACTGATTTTAAATTGTAAAACTTGAAAATGTAAATTTTAAAGTCTCCTATGTAAGCATGAAGCATTTTCTAAGAGTGTATGTATTTACGCAATAATTTCATATTTAATAATAAAAAAATGTGGAATTTGCGATAGGTTCGGTATAGTGGAATTTGATACTATACCGCTAGCGTATAGCTTCAGAAACCCTCTGCAAATTTTGGACATCCGAGTCTACGTCGCATGCATGAAAACCGGGCGTTAGACGGGATTTGAGTTCATGTTAACGNCGAATCCCGCCAACGGAAGATATTTGTATGATAAATATAAATGTCTTTCCAGGGTTATGGGTGTATATTAAATATATGTATGTGTATAATAAAAATATTATATTTATTTCCGTTATCTGGTACTTGTAACACAAGTTCTTTACGAACTTAGCACGGGACCAGTTAACGTGGCGTGATTGTTAGTAAATATTTATTTATTATTATTATTATTTAATAATTTGAAGCCCGCAACGGGCGAATACGTGTCTTTATTTTTGACTATATCTCATGCGTTTTTAGTCGTAGTTGCGAGGAATAGGTAGGATGGGTTCGTGGAAAGAGACATCAATATACATATTTGTTTTTTAACTTCAGAAATTTCTCGATAACGCTCGTATTTACAATTGGAGCAAAATTTTTATCGAAAATATGTTCATTCAATAGAATTATTATTATTGAACCACGGGTCAAACATTTTCCGTCAAATAAGAATTCAAGAAACTGAAATATCATACATTCGTTCAATAACATATGAAATAATCTCGCACCGTATGCGTATTACATAACACGCCGGTTGATAACGAGTATTATTGTTTTGTCATTTGTGATAACAATGTTTTAATTACGTACTCTGATTATACGTATAAAATAATTTTATTACATAATATTATTACAGCCAATATTTGCGAATATGAGATACACATAACAGCAGAGAAACACACAGCAAATATGAGATACACATAGATGACAAAGTTTGTTTGTGGGTTAGCCGGTAAATTAGAGCAATAGTAAGCCGTATTGTTTGATCACTTAAGACTTTTTTTTAAACGTCAGGTTAGGTTGGGTTTATTTTTTGCACGATCGAGTTCATTCTCCTAGCGTTAAATGGTTTTCAAAGCCCATATACGTCACAACTTGAATGCCGAGACAAAATATCGAAGTCTCAATTGTATGGTATAACGGCTATGTGTCGAATCGGAATTCACGCCAGTTTTGCGGCAGAAATGGTGGTACTTATTAGTAGAACGCGTTACAGTGAGCAGTATACTAGTACTCAAATACTCAGAGATTGCTGCTGTCCATTCTTTGGCAATTTCGGTAGGCAGCGGCTAGGCTCTGTTCCTGGCATTGCTGAAGTCCATGGGCGACGGTAACCACTCACCATCAGGTGGGCCTATGCTCGTCTGCCTATAAGGGCAATAAAAAAAATCCTGGCCGTCTTTTACCACACGCACGGAGAAAGATAAATCGATGCTACTCTAAGCTAATAAATCACGGTTTTGTAATTACCGAATCTTTATCGTTGTTCATTCTAGGATCCCGTATGGATTACTTGACCGATTTTGATATTCAAGTTATTGAAGTAACGTGACTGTAATAGCGGCAGTCTTCAAATATTCATCATACATGTCGAGTTAAAGGAGAGACAGGCTGATATAAAATACAATTATTCTTTAAATATATTATATATTAGCTGACCCGGCAGACTTCGTAGTGCCTCAATCGATAAATAAAAGAACTAAACTTTTGTATAAAATAAATTTAAAACAAACAAAAGGAATCCGTCCGACGGGGCAGACATCAAAGGAAAAACAAAATTGTTATTTTTATTTAATTCCGGGCATTTACATATTTATCTACCTTTTAAACCTTCTCTGGACTTCCACAAATAATTCAAGCCCAAAATTAGACAAATCGGTCCAGCCGTTCTCGAATTTTAGCGAGACTAACGAACAGCAATTCGTTTTTTATATATATATAGATAAAAAAAACGCGGATCTTGGACCTCATATCAATATAACATTTTTTTATGACAACATAGTTGGAACGGCATCAAAAGGTTATTAACTGACCCCGATGATAAGAAAAGACATATAAGTGACGATATGTCGACACAATATCAAGTATAATTGTAACATTTTATATTAAATTAAAATACTATTCGTAAGACTGGCTAGATAGAATTGATAATATAGATCGTAAGAGTGTCGGGCAGCTGTTTGTTCATCCCCGAATGCATTAAGACAAGTATAGATATCAAAGAGTAGCGTCCGTACCGCAGTCAAACTCGAAATATACGTTTGAAATTCATTCTACTGCGAATGAACTAGTCTTAAAACCGGAGTAAAGACTTAATTATAAGCAGAAACAGGTTCTCTACGCGCCATACCATTGGAGATAGGAATTTAGAGGGATATAAATATTGTGACTAGGAAAATATTATGTGTTATAAAATAAATAAATAAAAATAAAAATAAAAATAAAAATAAAAAATAAAAATAAAAAAGCCTTTTATTTCTTGCTTTTCATACCAAAAAAAATTTTCATTATTAATATGCATGCAAAATAATTCACATTTTTAAATTTATTATCCAATATTCAAAATAATTAACAAAATAATTTTTAATGGAATCTTGATTATTATTTTTTGATTATGTACATGTTATGAGTGATAAGAAGTATTGAATTGTGTTCTTATTTTAAGAAATAATATACATAACATTTGGAATAATTTTTACATTTAATAGTACTAAATATTGATTTAATTGGTTAAATTAGTCAGGGTTTATTTATGTTAGCAAGAACCCTCTCAATGAAAGGTGAAGGCCTCCTCCAGAGATGACCAGTACTCTCTATTCTCTGCCGCTCGCGGCCATTGTACACCTGCTACTTTTATGATGTCATCTACCCATCGTGTAATTGGTCTACCTCTTTTCCTCTGTCCTAGTGGACCGCGCCATGATGTTGTCTTTGCAGTCCAGCGGTTGTCGCTGAGCCTCGCTACATGTCCAGCCCAACGCCATTTCAGCTTTTGTGAATAGCTGAGAGCGTCGATGGCTTTTGTTTTCTGTCTTATAGTCGTATGGCGGATCCTTTGGATTTTCTTAATTTTCAAGATGCTTCTTTCCATGCTCCTTTGACAGGATATAATTTTATTTTTTACTTTTCTGGTAAATTTCCATGTTTGACAGGCGTATGTTAATGAGGGTAGTAGGCAGGTGTTCATGACTTTCGTTTTCATCCGTATGGTCATATCGCTTTTGAGTATTTCTTTGAGACTCCAGAACTTTTTCCATGTGTTGTTGATCCTTCTCTCCACTTCCAATTCATTATTTTGTTGGTTGAATGAAACTTGCTTACCCAGATAAATGTAAGCACCGACATATGCTAAAGAAGAATTTTCAAGATATATATTATGTGTTATAGAAGGAACTAAATAAATAAATAGGCAAAATAGAGATATCAGATCAAACGAGTGCAATGTGTATGATTTTATATAAATACATATACATTATTAGCAGACAATCATACCGCTGATAATGGTGAATGGTCATTGTTATGGACATTAAAGGTGCGGTATTTCAACCTAGCAATCAGGACTCTTTAAATCTCGTTTCGGAAATGTAATAGCGATACAAGAAACGCAGTATATCGGAAATACTCCTACTAACCGAAGATGCGCATTTCTATGGCTATTCATACACTGCTCCGTGCTCTGTCGCCTGGCGCGCAGTGGCAGGATTTAATATTGCGTGAAGTACATAGATTAGTATAGAAAACACGCCAAGTCATCAAACACTCAAACATTTGCTAGCGGGACGTGCCGTGGTGCGTTTTCGGTGTGTTGGACCTGGCGTGTTTTATTTATTTATTTAGGAAATACAACCGTCGCTAGGAAATAGAATACCCTCAGACACAGCCCACTGAGTTTCTCGACGGTGGTAGACTCTGCGAAGCACTGCTCTTGCTAGAGCCAGTGTTAGCAACACTCCGGTTTGAGCCCCGTGAGCTCACCTACACGTTAGGGCGAAGCGGAAATAGCCTCGCAAGGCTATCAGCATTGTTAGGGGGAAAAAAATAGATGTTTCACATAAAAATTACAGGTGTGTGCGGTCAGATAATACCATGGAACTTCCCTATATTGATGGCGGCTTGGAAGCTCGGGCCAGCTCTGGCGACGGGTTGTACTGTGGTCATGAAGCCGGCCGAGCAGACGCCGCTCACAGCTCTGTACATCGCTCAACTAGTCAAGGTTCGACTTTATATTGTCTGTTACAACATGTCGCCTTTTCGCATTCGCCCCTAGCGGAAAACGTAGGCAACTCCATACAAATTTGAGTTAACTTTTACGCGATCGAGAACGTTAAAAAACTCGCACTCAGCATACAGCTGATATCTTTACACCAAGCGAATCGCGAGCTCGTCCCATCTATTCTATTCTATATTCTACTAATTATAGTTGTATTACTGTACAGGAAGCAGGTTTCCCGCCCGGGGTCGTGAATATGTTGCCGGGCTACGGAGACACCGGGGCCGCCATCGTGGACCACCCCGACGTGGATAAAGTGGCCTTCACCGGTTAGAAACATTTTTTTTTGTTTATCATTATTTCGGACTGAGGCACTACCGGTTTTGAGCCGCGGCTGTTGCTACTTAAAGGTTAGCTTAAGTTTTTCTGCATCACAAAGGCCAATTTAAAGATGTTCTCAAAGTTTCATCGAAATTAGGCTAGCCGTTTCGGAGTCTACAGCGAACATAAACACATCGACTATTATATATATAGATAATCAGTATGTGTTGTTGATCGTCCAGCGATTATAGCTGGAGCAATGTCTGTGTACGCAAGTCTTATTTGAATAGATTTTTTTTACAAAAGCATCCAGCATTTGGTTATTTTAAATAAACAACATTTTATTTTTTATTTTTGTCATTAATACATGTGTCTCGTATAATAATGTTCAATTTTATGTGAGATGTATTGTGGTTCGCGGTTAGCCCCTTAACTGTCCCAGTCTCAGACGACAATCTGAAGCCTGGATGAGAGTGCAGGGATATCGCTCGGTGTGTCACCTGCAACATTTTCAGCAGACTTTGTTAGGAGACGAATAGTTGCTACCGTCTTGTTTATTTCTGTCACGTGGCTGGAATATCTGTCACGAATTTGAGATTTCATCTTCGCGTCTCAAAGTCATACCGTGCTCTTATGGTGATGCAACGGGTTCATTTTACGATGAGCGAGCAGGACCAGAGGCGGATTATCCGTAAGGCAAATTAGGCACGTGCCTAGGGGCGTGTTACAAGTTACAAGGGTCGCGCGAGCTCAGAATATTTAAATAAATAAAGAAAATAACATATCGACGATTAAGAACTAAATGTCTGAACTAAATATTTTGGTCTACGTAATTGCAAAAACAATTAGTTAAAATTTATAATATTATGATGGCCATTTATGGCCGGTACAGGGGCGCCGATAAAGTGATTGCCTAGGGCGCTCTGGATCTTTAATCCGCCACTGAGTAGGATCCGTTAGATTCGGTAGTGATTGGCTCGGTGGTGTCGCAGGTTCGACGGAGGTGGGTAAGCTGATCCAGCGCGGCGCGGCGTCGACGATAAAGCGCATCACGCTGGAGCTGGGCGGCAAGTCGCCCAACATCGTGCTCGCCGACACCGACCTGCCGCGCGCCGTGGAGGCCGCGCACAACGCGCTCTTCTACAACATGGGACAGTGCTGCTGCGCCGGTCAGTGCCACCCACACTCCCCTCCTATGCATAGCTTCATAAATACAAACTTTCTATCCGTTATATTGCTTACTGGCGACCCGCCCTCGCTTCGTTTCGGAAACATTAAATTTTATTATTGATAGCTGAGCCCCGCGGTGTTACCCGCGGTTATTGTCGTACCGCGGGTGACGCCGCGAGGCGAAGCTATTCTAAAAAAAGTAACCTAAGTTACTCCTTATATCATCAGCTTCTTATCAGTGAAAGTCTGTCGCTCCAGAGATTAGCCAGAATAAACAGACAGACAGACAAAAATTGTAAAATAATGTTATTTTGGTGTGTGTACCGTATATATATTCATATGCATGTAGTAAAAAGCGGCTATTTCAATATTACAAACGGACTCTCCAATTTTATTTATATGTATAGATAAGGGCTCGACGAGTAAATTAACCCATAGACACAGCCCACTGAGTTTTCTTGCCGGATCTTCTCAGTGGGTCGCGTTTCCGAACCGGTGGTAGATTCTGCGAAGCACGGCTCTTGCTAGGGTTCGTGTTGGCAACGTCGTCAGGTTTGAGCCCCGTGAGCTCACCTACTAGTTAAGGTTACGCTGATATAGCCTCCCAAGGCTCTCAGCTTAGGTAAGAAAAAAATAATTAAGTCATAAAAAAATTACGCTATTATAAACGCTAAAAGTTTTGTGTGTAATTATAGTTTACCTCTCCCCCCTCCAGGCTCTCGCACCTTCGTGGAGGACAAGATCTACGACCAGTTCGTAGAGTTGTCGGCCGAGCGCGCCAACCGCCGCGTGGTCGGGGACCCCTTCCGGCCCGACGTGGAGCAGGGACCCCAGGTCAGTGTCGGCTCACTACTCATTGGGGACACGGGAGGACCTCATCATGTCCGCTCGGTACTACGAGGTCACCGGTGCCCATGGACCTCACCTTAGACGCGAAGTCTCAATTGTACTTAGTAACGGCTGCGCCATCCTTTGAACAGGAATGAGTGGCGGTAACCTTACCGCGACTTTATGATCAGTAATGGATTTATGGCGGTCTGATTTGAGGGGTGCCAAAATTTTTCAAAAACTTTATTTTTGACTGTAAAGGCAGTCGTCTGTCTCCTTTGAAAATAAGTTCAGATTATTTTTTATGAAATAATAATAATTTAAAATACAAATATTGATAGGTATATCAAAATTAATAAAGTTAGTTCTAACATTAATGGCGATACGATGAATAGGATCTAGGACGGCATCAAGCCTAAATCCATTACGGAGTATCTGAGTAATATTGTTACGCGCTGGGGTTCAGAATAAATAAATATCCCGTCATTTTCAAACACTTTAACAATTAAAGCGCTTACAGAGCACTTAACAATTGGAAATTGGTTTCTTCCACTTCGCTTTAGGTGATCCGTCCGCTATTTCGCTTCGAGTAATTCCGATTACTGACTGCCTTAGTGTTGTCTCTGCAGCGCTTTTATAGCCGATACGATAGTAGATCGATCTCGAGAACATTCCTGACAAGTCGAGTAGTTTATATGTTTCCGCAATTTAATAATAGATGGCGTTGCACTTCCTGAGCATTCTCGATTTTACTAGTTCTTTTGATATTCGTTTCTGCTATTCGACTATATATGGCGTTGCTATTGCATTTACGATTAATAGAATTTTAAATTTAGAATGAGAGGTGCCTTCGTGTAGGTTACGGGCCCGCCGACATCGGTGCCACAGGGCGAGGTGCCGAACATTGGCTGAATCGGCTAATGAACTCTCGTCCACAGATCGACAACGAGCAGCGCGACAAGATCCTGCAGCTGATCAGCTCCGGGTCGCGGCAGGGCGCGCGGCTGGCGGCGGGCGGCGGCGCGGCCCCCGGGCCCGGCTACTTTGTGCAGCCCACCGTCTTCTGTGACGTCACCGACGACATGGACATCGCTAAGACAGAGGCGAGTCCGATATCACATTCTCCTTGCGTCAATAATCCTTAATCCTCAATGCAACTCGTGGTAGGACCTCTTGTGAGTCCGCACGGGTAGGTACCACCACCCTTCTTATTTCTGCCGTGAAACAGTAATGCGTTTAGGTCTGAAGGGTGGGACAGTCGTTCTAATTGTATTTGAGACCTTAGAACTTATATCACAAGGTGGGTAACACGTTTACGTTGTAGATGTCTATGGGCTCCAGTAACCACTTAACGGCAAGTGGGCTGTGAGCTCGTCCACCAATCTAAGCATTAAAAAAAAACATCTTGATTACCGGAGTCTGACAACAGATGGGGTTACTCGTAACGTTATAACACTTCTCGAACGTTTCCGACAATACTAGTTGGGTGGAAATCCGTTTTTCATATTTGACGACAGATGGCAGTTCTTGTAGCGTAATAAAATTTTAATAATTATATTTAAATTGATTTCAGATCTTTGGGCCGGTGCAGCAAATCTTGAAGTTCTCCCAGTTCGACGAGGTGGTGGAGCGCGCCAACAACTCTGAGTACGGACTGGCCGCCGCTGTCTTCACTAAAGATCTAGACAAGGCCAACTACTTCGTACAGGTAGGTCATTTGCTTGTTGTGTACTTAGGGCCCTTGAGGACGCACAATTGGCTGCTGACCATGGGCACCGCGCCGCGGGGACCGAATTCTGTTCCTAGTCGCAATCAATATCCTTCTAAAAGGTATTTGGTATTTGGTGTGTTTTTACACCTAACTAGTGGTCCCCCAGTAGTCGAAATTATGGTTCTATTGTCAAAGAATATTATAATTCTACAATCACAGATTTCGTCAAGACTACACTATAGACAAATAATATAAAGACAAACAATATTAATCTTTTTTTTTTTATTGCTTAGATCGGTGGACGAGCTCACAGCCCACCTGGTGTTAAGTGTTTACTGGAGCCCATAGACATCCACAACGTAAATCTGCCACCCATCTTGAGATATAAGTTCTAAGATCTTAGTATAGTTACAACGGCTACCCCACCCTTCAAAACGAAACACATTACTGCTTCACGGCAGAAATAGGCAGGGTGGTGGTACCTACCCGCGCGGACTCACAAGAGGTCCTACCACCAGTAAAAATTTGACCACAGACTTTAAACAATGACAGAAGCTTAACAATAAACAAAAGATTATATTATGCGTGTGTGTCTTAAATACATTTAGTATTCGAAATCGATAGTTATCGGATATCTGTTTCATCTCTACTGGTGACGTTACAGAGGCTGCGCGCCGGCACCATTTGGGTTAACGACTACAACGTATTCGGGAACCAAGTGCCCTTCGGCGGCTTCAAGCAGTCCGGGCTGGGCCGCGAGAACGGGCCCTACGGACTCCGCAACTACCTCGAGGTCAAGGCCGTCGTCGTTAAACTCGCCGACAAGAACACGTGAGCGCACAACGTTCAACTAGTTATACAGTAGATTGGGCGGAATCGGGACGCTTTCCAATACCAATACAAATTTTCAGCGGTTTTTCTTAAGATAATACAAATGAAATTGAGATTAAAACGGTTCCGGAGGTTAAAATGTTCATATACGATGCATTATTATAGATAGTTCATTGAAAAATATACACAAAAACTTAAAAAAACTAGCTTGACCTAATCCAGCTTGGCTTTTGGGGTGACTCGGCTTAGGGTCACGTATAGGGACAATAGAGTTTTTCGATAGGGCTGGCACTGTTTAGTTGTCAGGTAGGTATTTACCTTTAGGTAATTAACTTTTCAATATCTTTAATCAGTTACAAAATTCTAATGACTAAATTAATTAATTTAATATTCATAAACACTAACTAAAAGTCCCTTTCAATTCGACAAATTTAAATCTCACATAACCATTGTGACAACCCAGATTTGTCCCTATTCTACCCCTAGTCTCTATTCCCCCCAATCTACGGTACGAGTCTTGTATTAACTTATGTTCAGTTTTTGGTATAACTCTAAATCTTCGGAATATTGAGTAGTAATAGTAAAAAGGTAATTTAAGGTCCATAGAGCTCGTTAAAATATCGAACAGCTTGTACGGGCGTAATGATAAGAATAGATTCTGTAAATGTTTTTTTTTTCTGTAAAATTTAACCGATTTTAATGTATACTTGTAACAAGCTCTGTTAATGATTTCATATAAAATGTATGTGACCGAATACGGAACTAGTAAGTTGTTATAATTGAACGTTTTAATGGAAATATATTAAAACTTAGTAATTTAAGATGAGCATGATTTAGCTATTATATTTAGCTGTTTTCATAATAATAAAATAAACAAACTTGTATATAAAAACGGATTGTTTGTCATGTAAAAAGTTTATTCTTACATTCAGAAGAGCCTAGCTCCGCATTTATATTGTGCCATTTAAGCTTACATTATTGGTGAAAACTTTCTATCGAAGTCTGTGAATATTCGATTTATATACATCTTTATTGTTTTTCTGTTTAAAACGTAACATTACAATAATAAAAACAATATTTTTAACATATTGGATCGCCTTTTTATTTTCCTTAATATGTAAAGTTGCAAAAAATAGTAAACATAGCTTAACTAACTAAACTAACTTAATACTGTTTCAACTAAAGAAGAACATTCGTAACAGTATTGTATCGGATTACTTGTGTAATCTATGTAAACACAGTAGAAATACATATTAAGCTCGACGAGATCACGCGCGCCCCACGATGCTTGATTTCGGTGATCGGACGAGAACCGGTGTATTCAACATGGTATGGACGTTGGCGATGGAAGGATCGTATTGCACGACCAAGATCAGTGTGTCGTCACAAGTTATTATTAATAATAAAACACAGCAAAAAGCCAACATCACGTGGTGTTCCCAGGCGGTCACCCATCCAAGTACTGACCACGCCCGATGTTGCTTGACTTCGGTGATCGGACGAGAACCGGTGTATTCAACATGGTATGGACGTTGGCGAGGAAACGATCGTATTGCACGA